GTATCGTTACCCATATCACTTGGTGAAGTTACACTTAGGCCGCGAGCCGAGGCCATTTATCTTTCAGTTTCGTAGCGCACATCAGGTAACTACCTGAAAATGATTTTAAAATGTTCCTTAGAAATTTAGTAACAAATATTACCTTGTTCCCACTTCCAAAAGTTGCACGTTTTACAGAAAAGACGCTTTTACTACAATAAATATGTGTTACCATCTGTCCTATTTTCTCTGCTTTTCCGGTATCATGGGCCAATGAACGCAGACTTCTGCACGACGTAACAGTCAAGTTAGTCAGCTGTAGGTGGATCCCCAGTGATCGGATGAATATCAGATGTACTCAACTGCTCGCTTTTGCGTTGAGTAGCCTTTCCATAGTTTTTTTCAGTTACCGGTAATATTAGTCCAGTTATTCTAAGGAGGTGTTGAAAAGTATAGGTAAGATATTAAACACTTGTATATCCTTGCCATAAATAGCAATTTTAGTTGAGCACTAGCTCATAAGACGTTGTTAAATAGGTACGGTGCGGTAACTCCAAGGAAGGCTAGACCTAGAATAATATGTCACAAACAACGATATTTTCTGGCTTGCATGAAATGTTTATGATTAATTTAATGACTCTTCTTGACTATTCAGCAGACTTATACTACTATATAGGCCACAGCATATTTGGAAATAGAAATGAATGGCTGTTTCTGTAATGCACGGTTGTGTGAAAGAGAAGAAATTAATCAATTTTACTAATGTCGGTTGGTCTAAATCTAAATTCATAGAGTCGACAAGAACCTGGGAAGCAATGATAAGTTATGCCGGAGTGGAAAGAAAGGTAGCATTGGAAATGATTGAGAGGTGAGAAATGAAGTTGTAGACAAACAGTTGATGTTTCAAAATATAGTCTATAGTCCATACTCATACTGTCATGCAAACACTGCTGGACTGTAGAACATGCAATGAGCATATATACGCTCATTTAGTACATCAGATAAAATGCATTATGTATTCAAGGTATTAGTTAGTATTTAGGGGTATTTTTAAAATCATGCTGCCCCAAATATTATTTTCTTCCTTATTTTAGATACTGTACTACAAAAGAAGACGGCAATGTTCCACAAATCCGACCTAACGCAGGCTCTGATCCCTGCTGCTATCAGTGCTATAAAATGGATTAAACAAGAAGTCTTGAAGCTTAAAGGTATATGAGAATCATAATAGTTGCAAACAGCTTAGATGGGCTATTCATATTGAAATACTTTAGCACTTTTCTGCAATTGGAACTGCCCATCAAATTCATGTTGGAGACTTCATTGAGATTTTCAATTCATTTTTTTCCCTCGACTATGAAGATCTTTTGAGGTTAACGAGGTATTAATAAATAAAGCTGAGGAATTTGAAGAGGATATGAAGAATGTAAATGATACCAGGGCACGTCTATTTAACACTGTCAAACATAAGGATTATACTCTCCACCCAACAATGATTCACTGAAGAAGCATGTGGCCCTCAAATCAGTTCTTGAGTTGGCAAACTGCAAAGAAAAATAGTCAAAATAATTTATGAAAGTGTGCCAAAATCAACTTAAATTGCACAGATTTTTGTTTTTGTATTGACTGCAGAAATCACAGTACACCTATAGAGGAAAAGTCGATTTTTGAGATAGTGGATTTCGAAAACAATTCAGAAGAAAGTGAATTAGATATTACAGTTGATTTAATAAGTATCATACATTTGTTTTTTTTTCGGACATTTGTTAGTGTCGTAGTCCTGTTTCTAGAAATATTATTGCCTTTGTTCAAATACATAACCACATAAACTAAAAAAAGATTAATTGTAAATTGTAATATTTCTGTTCACTATGTTATGTACATATTGTACATTCATTTAATTTTCTTGACTTTTGCGGTAAATTTCTAAGTGAGAAATAACTGATTTATTTGTGTTTTCGTGCTCACGATGTTAATTTGTGACTTCATTGCTTAAAAATAAATACGTTTGATACTTGATAGCTTCTATAAAATGGATGTAGCTTTTTATGCTGTTCTTGTTGTAAACTGCTTGTGGTTATTACATAAAATTTATTCTCAAATGTGAATCAGCGTTGTTGGTGTCGCTGCTTTCGAGGTCACTCCCGACTCCTGTCACACAATTAAAGTATTTTTTGTTGTTGGTTACATGTATGCCATATTTTTCGTAATCTACCTAATAAATTATGATTGACTGAGGAAGTCCGATTTTGGTCAGGCAAAACATTACAGGAATACATTTGTGTTAGTGTGCTGTAGGGCTCTCGAATTGTATAGTTCTTATGTATGCGTTGTAAACTTATGGTTATTGAATTTCCGGAAACCTCGTATATTCAATTTCGCATATGGCATATGGAAAGCCTGCCCAACTCAGCGCAAGGTCGAGCAGAAATAACTAATATTCATCCGCTCGCTAACAGCTGGTTTAATTCAATTGTTACGTCATGCAGAAGTCATTGTTCAGTGCCGAAAATGTAGAGAATATAGGACAGATCGTAGCACATATTTCTTGTAGTAAAAGCGTCTTTTCCGTAAAACGTGCAACTTTTGGAAGTGGGAACAAGGCAATATTTGTTACTAAATTTTTAAGGAACATTTTAAAATCATTTTCAGGTAGTTACCTGATGTGCGCCACGAAACTCACTTTCTAGGCGTTTTTCAGGGCCTCGGCTCGCGGCCTAACTAGTAGAAAAAACAGAAGAAGTAACAAAAGTAGTAGACATACTTGATACAATGGTTTCATCCTCTGAAGTCGAGCCAGAAGTTGATTGAAAGTCTTTCGATCGACTCAAGATTTTTCGCGGAGTTTTTGAACTATGTCGTTGCGGAGTAACAGTTATTGAAGTACTCGAAATATAAGTACTTGTACTTGTTTCAAAAACGTTCTTAAGTTTTCTGTTGCGTAATTCCATACACCACAACAAATTTTACAAATGTATTGTTCTTTCACTGTCCAGTTCGTCGATTCTCAATCCCAATTCGCCTAAACTACAACGGTGCAACGGTGCACTAGTGTATTACAAGTGTTCATAAGAATGTCAGAATGTCTTACGTTGGTTACTAATGCGTATACGTTAGTTCTCTCGTTCTGTTGTATGACGCTCTGACGTTGTGCGTTTGTACAGTATCGTCTCGTATTTTCATTTCGTTACTTTATTCATTCCGTATATATTGCTTCACTTGCACTGCACATGTATCTTATCTTACATTCCTATGAACACTTGTAATACACTAGTGCAGTGGTTCCCAACCTTTCTACCCTGGCGGACCGGTAAAATTAAATTAAATGTACTCGCGGACCGGCAAATAATTGAAAAGACCGGAACAGAAAAGAATAACATATATTTGCGTAATATAATGCAATGTCGGGCACTCAGTATGCTTTTAGATAAAAAAAAGCACACTTAAAAATATCATATAATGTGCCGGCCAAAAATTGAAATGGGTAAAACATGAATATATTTGCGTAATGAAATGCAGCGCTGGGCACCCATTATGAATGTAAGAAAGGCACACATACAACATCTCACATGAAAAACATGTAAATGCCACTGCAGTTGATCGACGCATCAAACGAATTGAATTTACATCACAATGACAAAGTCGTCGGTAACTTGGCACCAGGCTCAAAATCCAACTGTGCCTGCTCAAAATACTGGAAAAAATCTCAGCGGCCCGTGCTTTTTTGCGCGTCTTGTGACCACTCGCAGGGTCGGAACAAGTAGGCCTACATATCTTACTGGAATATTATACTGTTTTTAACTGTTTTCGGGTTTAAACAAAGAAATATGCATAACGTTTTATATGGATGGTAATGTTAATTAGGAAAAGCATGCTGAACAGAAAAAGTACGCGTGCCGATTTTTAGGTTTCTGAATCTTGCGAGATTTGATGCCGCGCATTCGCGATGAATCGGAGCCAAAAAAGCGAAAAGTGTGATTACTCGGCGCCAAGATGTCGTGAAAGAAGTCGCCAATATGACGGCGGAAGAAAAATTGCGTAATAAACTAACGTAAACTCGTCTTCGGTAAAGCGATTGAGACGGCATAAAAACAACGAAATTTCTCGCGGACCGGCAAAAAAGCTTTGCGGACCGGCACCGGTCCGCGGTTGGGAACCACTGCACTAGTGCACCGTTGTAGCGGTGGGTATATACAGAATACATCCACACATATACAGAATAAGAAGAAAGCTAATGCCACACATATGCATAAATTGAGGCTACGACGTGAGTCGACGTTTGTTGTCACGTGGAAGTATCACTCGCACCATAGATTTTCATAACAATGCATTGTCTCTGCTCGCACCAATCCTCCTCGAGGGCACTCGAACTGTGATGGCTCAATGTGAATATGTACAAATTCTTTAGATTATTGCTAAAGTGCTGTGGTAATTTAATGCCGATCGCACTTCGACTAAACTAATCATGCTGAAGGATACTATTCTCATAGGCCTTATTGAAGAGTAAATAGGACAGCGCAGTAGCCATGCCCAATTACCAGAATATGCTTAGCCGCAAAAATCGTGATACTACTTATTTGCCCAAGCATATCTAGAAGCAATCTTGGTAAAGTATTGTAAACTCTCATGCGGATCTGTTACTCATAATGCAGGGCAATGGCTTGTCTGGGTAATAATAACAGACTAGATGCATACCTTATCACGGCAGAGAGGCGCTACAATCATTTCATATGTGACACAAGAATCAAACCTTTAGGAAGGTTATCAAAAACATGACTCTGTAGAGCGAATGCAAAACTATGAAATTACCCCCAGCTACCACTTGTTAACCATACATTAAATAAATAGTAACTTAAATATCTAATACCAAATCGACCTGGACCGACAACCGAACAGGAACTTCATTTAGCCGTTCAACTTTTCCTCAGAATTTAACTCAGAATATATAGAAAGTCCAAGAAAGGCCACAAAATATTATTGTCTCATACTCCAATAGAAAAAGCCGAAACTGTCACGCCATATAAATCTGGTAGTCACTTTTATTAGTCACTATTACAATGAAAAAAATATTGAATTGGCCCATGACATTATCACACAGTCCATTTTTTACAAATAATCGAAGGCTCATCCAGTCTCTTATTTTTTAAGTTCACAGCAGGCTCAACATATAAATCCTTAGAATTACCTAGAAATATACATATTGGAACCAAATAATGCTTGGCATGAAAACGATCATTAATCATCATTGTTGTTTATGTTGACATTGTATATCTCACATCGGCTGGGTCATGTTTGGTGTCTTAATCCCATATTTTTTTGCCAAGTTTCCTTGTGCAACAGCAGCAGCTTTCAATGAAAAAAGGTGAGCCATCTCCATCTCAGACTTAGCAAGATTAATAGCAATCTCAAAATGTTCACAAGCTTTATCCAGGTTTCCCCTGAAGTGACAAAATAAGAATAAATATTAGAAACACATTGGAATGTAATATATCATTGGTGATGCCTTTTAGTATTAATTTTTAAAAATTTGACAAAATGAAAACTATTATTTTAAACATACAACATATCAGAAATCGTCAATACTAAAACAATAACTGAAAATATACAAATCACCTTTGCACTTCGATTGTGCCCATTGTTTCATGAGCAAAATCGCATTTTCCATCAATTTCCAAAGCTTTTTCAATAAGTTGAATGCTTTTGTTTATATCTTGCTTCCATTGAAGACAAAGTAGCCTGCAGAAATAAATGATAAGAGTAATAAGAACAGGTAATATCAATAAAAAAGAAGATTAACGAATTATATAATAAATTCAGCCAGTGTCTATTACTCTAGTTCGCCGCAGACCTTTTCAGGGCAGATAGAAGATAATAAATTGACATTTGTTATTTTAAAATGATTTCAAAACACAATGTATTTGGGAATATATATAACTACCATATTTGTAATGCAAATGCATTCATAAAAAGGACTGGGGGTTGTGGCGTGGATGGAAATCTACAAAGGAAGATAAAAAAGGATGAAATTCTGAGACTAGCACCTTAGGATGAAAATGTAATAAATACACTACCCAATCAAAACAAACTGGGTACAAAATGGATAATATGGAATTTATGCTCTCCAACTACCGCAATTAGTACAACTGGCAAATTTTTTGTAGCTTTCTGCTTTTCCGACACACACCAATAAGATAGAACAAAAACCAGATACCTAAACTATATAAGTAAAATACTCACCCTCTATGAACGTATTGAGTAGCATTATCAGGTTCCAATTCAATTGCTTTAACAAACATTTCATCTGCTCTCTGGAAATTACCTTGGTCCGTTAATGCCTAAAACATAAATTGATTTGAACTCTTGCATCATCAAAAGCTAATAAATTATTGAAAATTGAATATTGATTGAGTAATGGAATGACTACACAGTATAATCAATAACTAAGAAAAATAATTATGGCAATGTTACTCTATTTTAAATTTCTGTATCCATAATTATATCGACTGTTTCTGTTAGTTTCATATAAAATATTGGGTATAGGGATATGGTCGCAATCACCATTTGAATGACCTCCTCCGTAGAAAGTGTATTGAGCTGCCATATCGGACAGGAGGTTGATTACTTGGGGACGAAATGGCATAAATGAAATTCTACAATTCTAGACAACCATCCAACACCAACACATACAAACCTGCGCATATAATTGGAAGCTTTTCAGAGCAGTTAGGAGTTTTTACTATTAAGTCTTCAAATTTCCCTAATGCATGTTGCGTCTCCACAACATCCCGTCGTGTTAAAAAGCTTGTCTAAAAAAAAATGTAGTAAACACTTGAAATGGAATTGCTATACATCTATCCTACATACTTGAGAAGGAATGCTGTGCATCTCAAATAGAAACCATGTCATCCCTATTTTATCAACAGCAAAATCAGCATACCCAATGCACACAGTGACACTGCAATCACGCTATAAATAGATGCAAAGAGCTAATGAAATAGGAATTTAACTTTTGAAACAATCAGAGATGATTCATTCATTATTTAAATAATGTTAAAAAAATTTGCAAATGAAAATTGAAATCCCATGCCCACAACCCCACCTATGGTATAACACAAATAGTCAACACTAGACACAGTAGTTCTCTACATATCGGTGACAGCTGGTACAAAGCCTCATTCAAATTGGAACCGTGAAACGTGACATAGAAAATGATGAAGTTACAGTATAGTCTTACCTATATACAGAATAACAGTGTTGAGCATGGGCGAGAGCAAAATCCGGTTTAATTCTCATGCAGGTTTCAAAATCTTTCAAAGCATCTTCTGTCTTTTCAAGGAGAATGTGTAACTAAAAAATATTAATACCTTAGCATTATAGCAATGAAACAAATTGAAAAATTGTTAAGTGCAGCTGCCCAAGTGAAAAATAATCTTCCACTTTCAATGTGAAATCATAATAAGATCTTTTTGATCCAGTGTAACTGTTGAGAAGTCTGATAAACAGATTCTTTACAGATCACTAACTTGAGTGTCTTCGTATAATCCAATGTTCACAAATGGAGCATAACACATTTAACCTAACTGTTAACCTAATCTTAATACAACTAAACACTTCAATCAGTTAAATAGAAAATAACACAAACACGTTTGAGACAGGATAGGAAAATTGGCATGACCCAATAATACCTATTCCTTCTTATTCCAAATGAAATTGGAAACACATTTAGGGCATATATAATACCAAGGCATATATAATACCTATTGGTACCTATTCACAAAAGATTTTGGTAACTGAAGTAAATAGAGAATTTATTTCATGCATTTGTAAAAATATTATATCCAATACCTGGCCCCTATGGTGAAGAACATCTGTGTTTTCTGGATCCAGCTTGACGGCATAATCAAAATCCTCTTGAGCTTTATCTGGGTGTTGTTCTTGCATATATAAACTACCTCGTTTAATAAGTGCATTGACTCGAAGCTGTAAAACAAGACCAAAAAGATCAGGATTTTCCAAATAATGTTAGATATTTAGTATAGCATAATTCCAAATATAGCAAAAAAGTGCTGATCCGATTTCAGCTTGAGACATTGTTTTTCTTCTGTGGCGGAAATAGATTTACATAATAACCAAAAACAGTCGAGAAAAAATTTAGCATTAAACATAAAAATTCATGTTTGATTTATATGAAAGTAATATTACTACAGTCTACAACCTAAGATTTATTTACTAATATTATAGATTGATGACGAAAACTATTGGAATGAATGCATCTTCAGACTTATTGATCATGCATCAATGTACACAATTTTATTAGTCAGACATACCTCTAGAAATACTCGAAATAAAAACACTTCAAGTGGAATATCAAGCTGAAGAGATCCACCTGAACTACCCACTTAAGAAAGGTGCTAATTCAATATGCTTACATAAAGGACATATCTCAATAATTTTGCTCGGAGAATAAAGAAGGTGAAATATACAAATTAGAAAAAATAAAAAAACATTCGCGCAATTTATGTGTGATAAAGTACCTCCACAGAGTTTGGTAAACAAGTGATTGGCCAAATCGACTTGATCAGGTACAAACCCAAACCAAACAAGCTGAAATATAACTAATGAATGAAAAAAATAATCATAACTACTGAAGTTCTAACCTTTATATCAGCGGCATCCATATCAATAACCCTTTCCAGATCAGGTTTGGCAGCGATGGAATTTCCTTGTAACAGTTGTAATGTTCCACGCAAGAGCAATGCAGCTGCGAGATACGGAGGTGGTTCATCACTTGTTGGAGCAGATAAATCGTGTTGGTTTTGATCATCGCCTTATTAAAGAGTCAAAATCGAGAAATGAAGATGAAAATATCTGTGATTCCGTTAACTGGTAGCCGGGACTGATATACGGATAAACTCGGACTCAGCTAGGCTAATGTTGTACTTAGTAAACATGCATCAGAGACTCAAGAGTGATTAGAATCTTCTAAATGAAATGACTAGTGAAACTTAGCGCAGTGATTGATTTAGACTCCCAAATGAGCTGTGACTCAGCATGACTCGTATCCCTGAGTTTGAGAGTCCTATAAAACACCGGGCAATACACATAATCAAATATGTTTCATTATTCAATAAAAGCAGTTAGATTCAAGATAATTTGGTTTTTATAACTGTGTGTCGTATTAGTCAAAAGTTACACAAACATTTTCCCGTTTTTTAGCCAACAAATAAATAATCCCAAGAACTGACCTTCTTGAGACGAATCATTGTTGTTTTCAATTTCTGTTGTACATTCAGGAATGACTTTTGCTAAATCGCCTTTGTCAAATGCGAGACGAGCTCTGATATATCCACTAAAAAAATGCATTTTGTTACATTCCACAAAACAACACATAAAAATTTATTTACAAAACAAGACTAATTACCACTCATGAACAAAGACAAAGACTAACTGATATGAAATAGATTATATTACAAAGCATTACTGTCAAATTCATACCTTTGAGTTTCCAATTTTTGTTCCTCTGTTATTGGTTGTGAAATGATATCTTCAGTGAAACTTCCAAAATATTGTTTGACAAATAACAACGAAGGCATAACCGACTCCCGAGCCTGTGAAGTTACTTTTTTTTATCATGTTATTTAAGTAACTTTTACTGCAAACAAGGCTTTGTACAAGTAACCACTTCTGCTACTATTTTTAAAGGATGGAATTTCTGCCTTCCACTATAAACAAGGCTCAATATAAGCAGCAGCTTCTAGCTTCTTCTTTCTGTAGTTCTAAAAACTACAATTTTTGTAACACCCAAAATCTTTCCATTTCAGTACTGCTTAAACAATTTATTCACCCTGAATGAGGTGGTGGGAATGGGACCAGCCTAGCTGATGACATCAAATTGAACTGCAGTAGTGATTATTACATTTATACATTGTAGAAACAGACCTTGTATCGCTCACTGGCCATTTCTTTTCCCATCTCCTTCAAGACACGATCTGCAAACATCATGCTTGTAGGATTTTGAAATTGCTCCATTATACAAACTGCTGTCATATCTGAAAAAAAGCAGTTATCTCTGATATAATATTTATTGATAATGACACTAATATAATTTATCCCTATAGCTTCGGAGATAAGGAATGCAAATGCATACAACACACAAAGCATTGAAGATTTCACTTAAATTGATCTTGCAAAAAAAAACAAAAATCAAAAAACTAAAGAAAGAAGATTGTATCTTCAGACAAAACCATTGCAATGGAATCTGCTTGAACTCTGGTGGATCCCTTTATCACTAGTTGGTTGGGGGTATGAATCTACCAACTATAAAATTGCTGCTGCCTACTTTTATTGTCAGAACAAACCAGTGAAATCTGAATAATATATCATCTCACCTTCAAGACATTCACTTTTTCTTCCTAACGTCTCCAGAGCTCTAGATCTTCTGAAAAGAGCTTTCACGTATCTAGGATTTAATTCAATTGCTTTTGTACATTCATCTATAACAGCTTGCCAGTTTTCCTGTGAAAACGAATCGATGATGTATTCGAATATTATATCGAATATGCAACATCAGGGTTTCCAAAACGAATCGAATATTCGAAATTATTCGAATATCAAAGTATTCGAATACCTTTTCGGCTCATTTCCGAATAATTACGAATAGTAGTCACTTTTCGCCGTAAACACGGTGTTTCGTTTTACCGGAATCTTCAAACGACTTTTTACGCTTTCTCACGTATTGTAATGACGATGAAATAGAGTCGGCATTTTGATTGTTTATATTCAGCGCGAATGTACGTCGCATAGTGTTGCGACACATTTGCACGTTTGCGTTGGTGGACATTGCCGACATTCGTCTTTTAATTCACAAAATCATTTCCATTAGTCGAAAAATCGACAATCACCGTATTTCCCGGCTAATAAGTCGCTTTTCTAGACCCAATTTTGGCTTGATTTTTTGGGGGAGGGGCGCCTTATTGAGAAAGCATGTTTATTTTATTTCTATGTGGCCTGCTTATTTTTCGCATTAGTCTTCTCAAGCATAATTTGTGTTAACCTTATATTTGGTTCTTATGGGTCTGCCAATCATGATATTTAATCGTAGGCCGGTTATCGTTACTTAAAAGAGAAAACACGGCCACCGCCACCGAGATAAAGTAAGTGATTTATGACCCTTTGGTTTTGCCGATTCAGCAGAAAACGACAGGGACATGAAACACAGCTGTGAAATAACCCGTGGACGTACCGTGTGGTACTTATCACATTCCAAAATTATTTCAACATTCGGGTTGATAGGTTGTCCAAAATGATTGCCGCTTTATAATTTAAATTTACCGCTTCGTTGTTGAGAATAGTTAATTCCGTGAGTATGGTTCTACCAAACAAACATGATCTGGTTCTGTTCTGACCCTATAAAATTATAGATTGTTCAAAATGATTGTGATTTTTAACTTAAAATTACCGCTTTATTGTTAAAAATAGTTAATTCTGTGAGTATGATTCTACTAAACAAACGTGATCTGGTTCTAAACATTATTATTAGCGCATATTAGCATAACTGAACAACAGGGAACAATTTTTCTACCCGTCTTCTTGGAGGCCTATATGGAAAACCCCCTTTTTTGAGTGCTAAAAATATACATCGTCCTATTTGCCATGTAGACTTATTAGCCGGGAAATACGGTATTTATAGCCGTAATTGTTACGATATCCAATAAATTGTCACAAGTTGGGAAACAAGTTGATTTATTAGAAAAATACTTTCACCCGCTTTCTGGCAAATAATTTTGATAATGATGGTCAAAAGTATCGATAATGAAAGTATTAATACCAAATACCACGGGTATTTGTGGGCATGAAATGTGTGGTAAACTGCCCAATTATAATTAATTTCGGATTCGTATTTACAAAATATTAAAACTATTATAACTCAAAAATACAACGGCGATTTGTGGACTTGAATGTGTAATAAAGTATAAATTATTTTTCCGACTTGTGACAATTTTTTCGTGAGTACGAAAATAAGAATCAAAAATTAATTATATTCGGGCACAATATCACGGCATTCTGTGGACATAAATTGTGAGGCAAACTCGCGATTGATATTAATTTTTGATTCCTATTTTCGTATTTACAAAATACAACGGTGATCTGTGGACATTGAATGTGTGGTAAACTACCCGATTATAAATAGTTTTTGAACCCTATTTTCGTATTTATAAAATAATAAAAGTATTATTACACAAACATACAACGGCGATCTGCGGACTTAAAATGTGTGGTAAAGTTCCCGAATATAATTACTTTTTGATTCGTATTTTTGTACTCACGAAAAAATTGTCACAAGTCTGAAAAAGAACTCATACTTTATCCCGCTTTTTGACAAATAATTTGGATAATGGTTGGTATTTAAAAGTATGGGCGTTTTACTAGGATGATTTTGTGTTGCGCAAGCATTCAAATCCATCACCGATACCACTATTTAAAATGCCTTGTCGTATTATTTTAATTCTGTTAATTAACACAACTCATGTTATATAAAATATATTTCGCAATAATCTGCAAACATGAAATGCCTGGTAATATAGCCAGGTTGTAGATAGAAGTTATTCCATTGTTTATTGTATGAAAATTCCTTCATACACTTAGATTCTATTACTGGATTTTATTTTCGAAGTATTCGAAATTTCATATTCGAAAATAATAATTTCGAATGTATTCGAAATAGTGAACTATTCGGTATTGGCCATCCCTGGAACATACCCAAATCACATATTCACAAACTTTAATAAGGCTTATTATGAAGCATGCCCTCATAATTAGTTAGCTTTTGTCTGAGAAAGAAACAATATTTTTCCAAAAAAAAGAGAAAAAACAGCATTTAAATTGTGAAAATTAAAAACACCGGATTCTATCTAGTAGTAGGCACCACAGTCATATTTATCAAAAATGTTTCAATATAGAAAGTTTCAAACTAATACTTCAATCCAGTTAAGAGAAATAGCATGCCTAGGCAATAGCTTTGCATTCAATTCATTATTGAATATCCAATAAATTCATATAAATTTGCTAAAAATATTGAGGCTGCTATTATTGTCACTCCTATTTTTAATTATTACTTCTATTACCGTAATAAAGTGTACAAGGTAATAATTTTAAATGAAAACAGAAAATGGCTATATTGATGTGATGTTTAAAGATTCCTCTCATGACAACCATTTATACTGTTATACCATTTTTATATCAAAAAATCGTACCAATTTCTCATGGGCAGCCGCCTTATTTTGGTGAAATGTTGACAATTCTTGCTTCTTGCTTTTAGGGCAAAGTTCAATTGCTTGTGTGTAATGTTCAATAGCAACATGATATTTTCCTTGTTTGAATGCTGCATTACCCTCATTCTTAAAATCCTTGGCTCTCTTGAAGGGATCCTGTAATCGAAAAGGTTGAATATTCGGGTCTTGTGTAGTTCGTACCTAACGTACAACCAGTGGGTGTAGCATACAATTTTTTCACACGTCAATTCCAACCCAACCTGACTACGTCATACAAAAATTATGTCATTGCGATGTCACAATCATGTTATAGAGCTTGCCACAGTATACCTATGATCGCCCGAAATGGCATCTGCGCCGACGATAAGGAACTCACCAACGACAGAGATTTCAATCATACTGTCATATCAGGATCAGTGCGACGAGAAAACGAGAGAAGAAAGCTTGCTCGATTTTGGGTGATCGTCTGCGCGTCTTGGATAACAGCTTGTATAGTTTGGAGGGCTCTATTACATCACTGTGACACCCGGACACTGTAAATTTTGAATGACGCCGTCAGATGGGGGTTAGGATTAACATGTGAAAATATTGATATGCTATGCCCACTAGAAGTATGTTAGGTACAAAACTACACTAGACTCGAATATTCTAACTGACATCAGTAAATTTGAAAATGGCTGAGAAGTAACTTCGGAATATTCGAAAAATCCAGTTAAACGCGAATCGCTCTGCAACACAAGTTCCCCCAAAAAAGTACTAAAGTAATCAGTTTTTGAAACTTACCTCGTCTGGTGTTGAACTTCCTTCAGGATCTTTTCTCGCTTGTAGCTTAGGTGATGGTTCCTTCACAGAAGTTGGCTTACTAGGGGGACTTGTATCCGAAAATTTTTTCTTGTAAATATAGTAACCTACGCCTCCAACGGCTACGGGGATTCCAAGGGCTAAGGCTATCTTCCACGCTGGCCAAGAGTCTGACTGCGTAGAGTCGGACATTTTCGCCGGCTAAACTGCGCTTCCTTAATTGTCAGTTCAGCAGTCAGCACTCTACAAATGCGGCAGCCAGGCAGTACAGCAGTAGAGACTTACAAAAAAAACGGCATGTTTTGGTTCCGTTTCATCAGTTCGGCAAACCACAAGTGGGCAGTAGCAATACCTATTTCAAGAGTGTCGGGAAGTCGGCGCTGACAAACTAGTTCACGTGTGCAAAAATTATTTTTATCAAATGTTCAACTACATGTATCGCAGCTTTTCGGGGATAAATTGCAGCTGGACTTAAGCTCCTCGGAAGACATATTGATAATTAAATTGATAATTGACAGCAAATTTTTGGAAACACAACCGAAAACTGGCATATAGCACTCAAAATTAAGTCACAGCAAACAATTTGTATGTATGTATGTTTATTTGCCTCAAAAGGTATAAGTATATGCATAATAATTAAACGATATAACAGAGACGGGATTCCAGGTTCTGGTGTGAAGGAATGGGAATAGGGTATAAATCGCATGTTTGTGTTTTATACAATAGATTGTAGGCTACAAAGCCAGTAAATATTTGTTCGAGACTTGAACTTGTTTTGTTTACCCAAATTTAATTTTGGGCGTAGGATGGGTTTGAATGACTAAGGTCTATTCCATTGTCTCGTAAGTTGTAGGCCTACGTTTCGTTTACGGTGAAATCCAAACTAGCAATTGTTCTAACCAAGTTTCCGAATTTTCTGCGTTCAGAACCCTTTCAGAGTATTATCTTAAAGGACATTTATAACACGTTATTAATAACACATCCTCTTTTTATATCACGGAAACTGTCGTTGCGTAGTTGAAACAAATTGTTTTCATTCAAGATAGTACGTGCTTGAGCACTCAAGACGATCGACGTGTTGATAATCCCTATTCTATTGTAGCCTATTACTGAAGCGTATCACTTTTCGTGAGAGATTGGGCTCAACCTAGGTCCTAGAGCAGTGGTTCTCAATCTCTTTAGTTTGCGGGATGATAAAATTTCAAAACGAATATTGCGGACCGGTGAACCCTCCAAATCAACTTGAAACGTCAAAACACAAAACACAATTAGACGAGTGAAATAACGACAAAAGTCTGTAATTCAAAATTCAGATAATTCAATTTAATGAGAAGTTACTAAGAAATACGTGTTAACGCGATTCTAATGAAGTTTCTGTAAGGCGAAGTAGAGCGTTGACTTCCACACGATTTCTCTGTTTGGTCTTGATGAGAGATAAAGATGAAAGTATTTTCCACATAGCTAAGTTGCACAAAATATTAGCCAGTAATTTAATGGCTCAGGATACTATTTTTCAAGAGATATTAAAACTGTGACAATGGCAATTGCAAGTCTTAATGATTCGATCGTGGCATGGGCAGGAGAGCTCAATCATCGATTCTTTCCTAACAGCGTTAGATTGTACGAATAAAATCCTTTGCAAAAGACAGTAACAATTCAAAGGTTTTCCTAAATTATACTTTCAAATTACGGGGCGTGCGTGCTTCTTAATTCGTTCAAAATTTAACAAGGTAAGTATGTGCTCTCGAACTGATTCCTTATGATGTTCGCCGTATGCCGTCATAGACTTTACCAAACAGCCAGACGTTCACGGCTTTAAAAATGGGCGCAAAACCCTCTGTACCACGTTTGATTCACCGCATCAATAAGAGTTGAAACTCACAAAACAAACGGGCAGGCCATCAATGCTGGACCGGAGAACTTCCCCTTTGTAGTAACCACATTGTGGACACTGTTTTGTATTCCCATTGTATAATTTAGAAAGGCGCGTGTTCGCTTTTGTGCACATGCACTTACGCCGTAACTTATAAAGGCCACTACAACAACAGAACACGTTTGAAAAAATTAGCTCAGCATTTTATCAGTTACCTACTTTTTAGCTGCTACTTGCGAATGTCTTAACTGTTTACCGATTCATTAATGAAGTTATCTGATACTTTTTAACGAACCGTTATTTTTTTTCACATCTTTAGTCCCCAGAGTTTGACTACATATAAAAACACATATTGTTGCATGTGTCGATCATGAATCCATCTGGAATTAGAAAACTGACGATGTTCTTTCCGCTTCGATATATTTACTTGTGCTCATTTTTTCAAGTGCAGTTTCAGTATTTCGTGTCGTCTAAAGCTGCCGCAAAATCACAAGTGCAGTTTTAAGTATTTTGTGGCGTCTGCAGCTGTCGTAAAACTATTCAGTTAACCATGGTAAAACCATGGCGGTATTTCCATACCATGGTCGCTACGGCCAAACCTTTGGCGACTGACTTTTTAGCTGCCACAAACCAATGACGACGAGCTGCCGTTACCGCGGCAGCAAATTGTGAACCAATGGCAGGTAAAATTTTGCTGCCGTAACCACGGCAGGTGGGCCGTAAAGACAGGTCTGTCCCTTATGGTGACAAATATTGGGTAAGTTGACACGTTTTTCTTATGGATACAGTTTGGGTGGATTTGGGGTTAGGGTTAAAGTTTAAGTAGATATAATTCCGCATGATCAATTAAAATCTGGTAAATTAATTTGTGAATATACCCCTAATACTGATTATTGAATACTGAAAAGCGCTATAAAACCATGGCAAGAGCTGCCGCGGTTAGTTCGTGGCAGGAGCTGCCATGAAGTGGTAAGAACTGCTCCTCCAAAATCATGGCGGGATTTCCAAACCATGGCCGCTATAGCCAAATCTATAGTGATTTACTTTTAAACTGCCACAAACCAATAGCGAGCTACCGTTACGCGGCAACAAACTGAAAACCGAAGGTGGGTAAAATTTTGCTGCCGTAACCACGGCATGAGAGAGAGAGATGAGAGAAAGAGAGATTTGTTTTTTCGTCAACCAAAAATAACAGTCATCGTAATAAAAATAACAATAAAAAATAAATTAGTTTGGTATAGACAGGAGGGAGTGATACGACCAGACGGTCATCAAAGTCAACTCCCCCCTTCATGTCGGCTGTAATTGGGTCAGTTGGAACATTTTTCTTATGGATACAGTTTTGATGGATTTGAGGTTAGGTTTTCAGGTTTACATAGATATAATTCCGCACGATAAAGTAAAATGTGGTACATGGCTTTGTGAATATACTGTTAATACTGGTTACTGGATAGCGCCATAAAACCATGCCAAGAGACGCCGCAGTTCGTTCGTGGCAGAAGCTGCCATGAAGTGGTAAGAACTGCGACCCCATTTTTTTTTAGCTCAAACCAACGACGGCAGACACCAGCATGTGATTATTTATCTATCATGTATTGTATACTTAACACCTAAATTATTTGGAAATTGTGATTCATGCAATTAAATTGACATAATAATATATTTGGATAAACCAAAACTATCATTTTCATAAATCCGATTTGGCTATGGATTTAAATTTGGCAAAAAAAAAAAAAAAGACACCAGCATGGCTGCAGGTTGAGCGTGCTAGTGGCGAGTAAACAAAATGAGGTTGTCGGTATTACGCGACGCGTCGCAATAATCGTGTTAGGACTTTAGGATTAGGGAGTTGAAGTACCATACCATACAATTCGAATGGCACACAGGTGCGATTCTTGTCACTGTGGCTAATAACATCAGCGTGACTAGTGGGATATTTAAACAATTTGCAAACAAGCAACTTACAAACAGATTACCGGTACCGTACTGCTGTACTGAAATAATTGCATAAGTAGTTCAAAATTGAATATTGCCGAGCATGTGAATGAATTAACGAGCTGCTTTTGGTTAAGTTACGGTACCGGTAGCCTATATTAGGAACCTGGAAATGAAACAGTTCTGTCTATTGACTGTTGGTAGAATTGCAAAGTTGAAATACTAAATTATACAGTTATACCTGTATACGGTATGTGCTGTAGACTAGTTACTGCAATATCACATATCTGTATAATACGATACCGGTATACGCCATTCTGCATTTACCTGTTCAGTTGTTCGTGACTTACAGACTTATCAAACACACAAGTGAATTCAGGAATTCTATCAGTTCTTCTGGTACGGTACACGCAGACATGATACCTGGATACATACAGGCAAAGAAATGAAAAATTATAATTCTGTAATTGATGGTTGGGCTATAATATTATTACATTCATTCTGGTCAGCGTAATTCTGCTGAATTATGCAAATATTTAAAAAAATTGATCTGTTTTATATTATCATTATTTAAAATTTACCTACCCAGACTGGGAAGCTAACTATGCATTCCACCTGAAAATTAGCTGGAGTTATTTGAGAATATCAGAATATTGCAAAGATGATTAAAAACTGTTTTCATAAATTTTATCATTTCAATTATGAAACATTATGAATCTATCTATAACATTGGTACTGAGATAGGTCTACTTGCAGACTTATGAATGTTGTTGAGATGCAATATTACTTCAAATGAGTGCTGAAATAATTTCAGGCTTAGTTCTGTAGTTGGATAAATAATCTTTATTTTTACATTAGTAGCTCCAAATGAACCATGTGATCATTGTCACCTTTTTTCAATACTTAAATATTTGTGTGAGTTCTCTTGTATATAAAGGTTATTGTAAAACTAATGTTAAAATATATTACCACTGAAAAAACTATAAACAATGTCAGACCATGGGAATAAAACTCTGCATGGAGCAGGAGACAGTGCAGCTATTACAATAAATCGACCAAGACTATCTGAGGAACCTTCTCCAGAGCATAAAACTCCAGTTGGATCGCCTACTCAACAGCATTTATTTGTGGTGCCAAGCCCCTTGGTAACACGAAGGGAACGTACATATTCAGCATCACGACGTGCAACAGAAGGTCCAATAAAAAGAGGAACATGCAAATATTTTTCTCGTTCCAAAGGTCATGGGTTTATATCTCCAGCAGATGGAGGTGATCCATTATTCATGCATATATCTGATATTGAAGGAGACTATTGCCCTTTGCAAGGAGATCAGTTGTCTTACAAGTTGACCCCTTCACCTCCAAAATTTGACAAGTTTCAAGCTGTGGAGGTTCGCATTATTGCAATGGATAAATGTACCGGGAAGACGCACCAAAGGTGGGAAGATGCAACTTCATGAACTTCGAAGCAGCAATGTGCAGAATGATTTTCTGCTATGTATGATGCTAGTCAAAAGACAGCATTAACATTGAATTAGTAATGTCAAACTGAAAGCATTGAGCACCAATATAATATTATAATACTTCACGTCACAAAACCAAAGTGTTGTGTCTGTATTGCTGTATTGGTAAATGATTATATTTTTTTCATAACATGTATACCTTCCAGGCCAAAAACAAATTATTTTGTTTGGTAACCTAATTTCATTCAATAGCTTTAGCCTTGATAAAAATTGGCTGTTATGACAAACGTTCTGGCAAAGAAGTGGGACAGTATAATTTGAATATTTTCAAATCCCTTTTATTAGACAAAATTTTTTGCTCGGACTAAAGTGGCTAAAATTATTGGATGATATGCACATCACGAGTTTACACGGTTAATGTTTGGCCATTTGAAACAAATTATGGACTTCTGTGAAAGAGTGATTGCAGGATAGCAGCTGCTTGTCATTACAATAATGAGCCTGTTTAGAGTGGGTAAATTGAAAATATTATTTCGGACCGGAGTAGATTTATTTACATTATTCAAATTATACTAAAGGCGGTGATTTGAATCAATTTATCTAGTTATTTTTTTTTATATGATTTGCAATACTGGATGTCCCGTGTTCTATCAAATTCAATGTGTTGTCAATCAGCTGCTGTATAGGCTACTTTATTTATGCTATGCCTTAGTAATAGTAAGTAATTCAGTGTAAATAACTACCAGTAAATGACCAAAGGGTTGTTTGATCATTTCAATTTTGTGGAACTATTAAACTTACCATAATTGCATATAAAACATGGTGACATGTTACTATGATCAATGTGTCACAATATATTCGGTCATTTCCTGTTGTTTTATTTAGTGCTGTAAAACATATTGATTAGCCGCCAGTCCCTTTTTCGTGTATTACGATACGGAAATAATCTTACAACTTACAAGATTCATTAATTGCTAAGCCATAACTCGTGTGGAAGGAATATCAGAAGAGTGTATCATGACTGTCTTATATTGGAATATTCTGCTATAGTATCATTTGTGTTTTCAAAGGAGTTACTTAGTAGAGGGAATAATAGTAGAATTCAATATTGTTGCATTTCTCTTGACCAAAACTGGTCCTGTATTTGATAAAAAATTATTAGTTTTAGGAGTGATTTAGGATAGTTACATTGGAAGATTATCATTATAATAAGTAATTGAATGTTCATAGGACCAAATTTTTATCTTCCATGCATTACCAACCAACATTAAATAAACTCCTGTCAACTTTTATGTGTGCTTTTTCAAACATGACTCAATTTGGAGTATATTTTATATTTAAAAATATTATTTAGAATGTATTCGGAATGGTAGATTATTCCATTTCGACCATTCTTGGTAAGATGTCAAATTTTATTTCGTTAACTTAATGTAGATGTGGATAGCAATACCTTGTTCTATCATAGTCAGTACTTTTGTCATAACATCTGGTTTCAGTTTAGCTCATAGAGTGTTATAATTTGTTAGCTATGCTATCAGTAGTCATTATAATCAAATTTCACTAAACCTCAGAATATATGTATGTAAATTCAAAGTGCAATCTATTGTGCAAATTTCAACCGTTACTCAGAACATTGTATATTATCAGCTTGAGGTTGGAACCTATTATTAAAATCATAAAGAGTTGATGCAACTTGGAACTATTGGCCTGGCTGGTGTTCATTTTTATTTGAACAAGGCTTTGAACAAACAGCAAAAAGCATCAACCTATTTCATCACCTTTTCCCTGCTCAAATACTATATAAAATGATAAATTTCAATGTTCAATCCTGATGGGTCAGCATGTAATACACCTCTGATGCCCACCTGTGATGGTTATATGTACACATATTATTGTATCATTACAAAGATCTCTCATTGATAATAATAATTGTAGTATGTAACTCCTATACTGGTGCATAGTATTTTTAATTGCATAATTGTAATGATAATATTAAATTCTGTTGACTTTTCTCTTTTGTTAGATACAAAATCGGTAGGGTAAATTTATTAAACACTAAATTGATATAACTATAAAATCATCATTATGCGGGAATGCATCTCAATTCATGTTGGTCAAGCTGGTATCCAGATAGGAAACGCTTGCTGGGAATTGTATTGTCTTGAACATAACATTCAACCAGATGGGTTAATGCCAAGTGATAAATCTGTTGGAGTAGCGGAAGATTCTTACAACACCTTTTTCAGTGAAACTGGTTCTGGAAAGCATGTACCTCGGGCTTTGTTTTTTGATACCGAGCCAACTGTCATTGATGAGGTTAGGACTGGCAAGTATCGGCAGTTGTTCCACCCTGAGCAACTCATTACTGGTAAAGAGGACGCAGCTAACAATTACGCAAGGGGTCATTATACTGTCGGCAAGGAATTCATTGATCAAGTAATTGATAGGATTCGGAAACTGACGGAGCAATGCACTGGATTGCAAGGATTTCTCGTTTTTCATTCGTTCGGTGGCGGCACTGGATCTGGGTTCACATCGCTCTTGTTGGAACGCTTATCAGTCGACTATGGGAAGAAGTCAAAACTTGAGTTTGCTATTTACCCATCCCCTCGCGTCTCTACTGCTGTAGTGGAACCTTACAACTCAATATTGACAACTCACACCACTCTTGAGCATACTGATTGTGCCTTTATGGTTGATAACGAAGCAACCTATGATATTTGCAAAACCAATCTTGGAGTAGAACGTCCTTCTTATTCCAATCTTAACCGATTGATTGGTCAGATTGTGTCTTCCATCACCGCATCACTACGATTTGATGGTTCGCTCAATGTTGATTTGACTGAGTTTCAAACCAATTTGGTGCCTTATCCTCGAATCCATTTCCCTCTGGTAACCTATGCTCCAATCATCTCTGCTGAAAGGGCTCATCATGAGCAAATCACCGTTGCTGAAATAACCAATGCATGCTTCGAGCCTTCTAATCAAATGGTAAAGTGTGATCCACGCGCCGGGAAATACATGGCTTGTTGTATGCTTTATCGGGGTGACGTTGTGCCTAAGGATGTGAATGCCGCGATTGCTGCAATTAAAACCAAACGTACAATTCAATTTGTCGATTGGTGCCCTACCGGTTTTAAAGTTGGAATCAATTATCAGCCACCTACTGTTGTTCCTGGAGGAGATTTGGCAAAGGTCCAGAGGGCAGTATGTATGCTGAGTAACACCACTGCTATAGCAGAAGCCTGGTCAAGATTAAATCACAAGTTTGATTTGATGTATGCCAAAAGAGCTTTTGTTCATTGGTGAGTTTTATATTGTTATTGGAATAATAAAAACTTGTTTTGTGCTGAGCTATGGAAAACAAACCATAGCAGGTTATTAATGATTTTGATTAGATTAGTACCATGATTCATCCTAGATGTAAGTCTCATTAGAAACTGCTCTCATTTTCCAAATTATATAAACCTTGAAAACGAGTGACCATCTTGAAATATGTATAATTGTTTTTCCCTTTGTAGTCTTTCATTATTTGAATATGCATATTAATGATTAACACATTTTCAAGGCATCCACATTTTCTCTTCAAATATTGTTCCCATAGTTAGGTAACAATTATCAGATAGGTGCACTGGGCATTTAGATACATTGCCAATTTATTTTGAACACTGTTAGATTACAAAAATTGACAAAACACAGGACAAAAATTTAGGATAGCTACCAAAACTTTTAATGAGATTCAAACATGTGACATTGGTAAACGAACCTCGTGACACAGAACATACATGGAAAAAACATGATGAAATACTCTCTAAGTGGGCATCTGTTACTAACTAAATACAGGTAGACTTGTGATCTGGTAAATTGAATTGTGTGTCATACAATTCCAGTGAATAGGGCATCAACATTGCAGGAAGCAGAGTTTTTTTCAGATATCTACTTTAGAAAACAAGTTAATAAACATACCATACAATTGATCTCATATTTTGTATCCAAATTCATACTTTCTATATTGTATGTTGTTACGCTAAAACCCCAATTTGAATATTAATAAATATATTTAACTTCCAACTTATACAATACTATGTGATAATAGCATGGTACATGTAATGTCAGGTATGGTATTAAGAAATTAATATTTAAAAATGGCGATTATTCAGGTTGTACACTCTTCTTTGTGGCTAAATTATTTGGATCTGAAATGTTATTATAATACATGTTCCGTTGTGTCTCAGATATGCTGGGTTAAAGGATACATTATAGATTTTCTATTAGTGAGTAAGTGTTATATTTTTAGATAAATGGGAATATAAAACTCTCCTTACACAGTCCGATCGTATTATACTCAAAAGATTATCCTATATTATAAAAAAATTTTATTTACGGCAAATTGAAAATGCACTAATTACCAAATCTAACAAAATCATATTGAAGTTTAAACACAGTTGAAAATATTTATAATCTGATTTAATGAACGGTCTAATGATCAAATGAATATATGAAAAACATCATGCTTGAAGTAGCGTAGGTATGCTTGGAATTCCGCCACATGAAGTAAACAATTCAACAATTGCAGGTATGTTGGAGAAGGAATGGAAGAAGGAGAATTTTCAGAAGCAAGAGAAGATCTTGCTGCATTAGAGAAGGATTATGAGGAAGTTGGTAAAGATACTACAGATGAAGATGCAGAGGAGGATGAAGAGTATTAATTTCATTAACAGCTGGGAGTAATCCAGATAACTTGTATATTTTTTGAATCATGGTATGACTTATTTGTAATCACCACACTCCCTGGAATTGTATCCTTAATGTGTATTTAATTCATTTTAATTTAACGTATCTTTAATTCAGTGGTATATCTGAAAAGCCACTTTGAAAATTCCCATACCTCAGCTCGAAAATACCCTAGTAGTGACTCTGAATATTCATGTTGCATTGACAAATGCAAAAATCAATTATACTAAATCAGCCCAGGTAAAATCACATTGTTAGCGACTTTTCCAGTTGGCCGAAAATTTAAAAAGGGAGTGTGTCGACCCCTATATACCCCCCTCTCAAGTTTGCTCTGCATACAGACCAATAATGTCCACTGCCCTAGACAAATGAGTCTACATATAAAATAAAAGGTTGCAGGTTATATTTGTGTTAGTGTCAAGCAAGAATGCCTAATTATAAAATAACAATATTTTCTATGATTGTTTATCACTTTATGAGAACATGTTCCATTTTTCATGATCAATCATGTCGCTTTTTATTGATGAATCAATTGTTCAGACCATCGTAGCTCCGTCTGACATTTATCTACAATGGTGAAGTTTTATGTTTGTTTTTTTAAAATCAAGTATTTTATCATTTTCACTTGCTATTGCATTAGCTTGCCCCATAAGTGCAATCATGCTTTGGGTATATTGCAAAGTATTATTAAAAACTAATCATGTAAATTAGAAAAGTGCCTCATATGCAGTCCTAATCTAGCTAGATATTTCAAATTTATCAATAAACTCTGCATATGCATTGAAACGAATTTGCATTACCGGTAATATTTCTTACTCGGTGTTTAAGTTCTTCAAATTGAGTTACTCACTATTTCAAATGCATTCTAAAATAATATTATGAAATATATTCCAAGTCAGGTCTTCTTCAAAAAAGAAAAGATGACTTTTCAAATAAAAACACTTCCAAGTTATTCCTAAAAGTAAAAAAAGAATCGATTGCAATATTTCATTTGTCTTGGACATCCCTGTTTTTGGTGTTCCATTCAAAAATAGAATGCAGTATTTCAATGACTCTTATATCTTTTATGAATAATATATTGAAAAGTTTATCGGTTCCCCGTGACTAACAGTAATAATGCATGACACAATACTTTGCTTTTTGAAGAGTATTTTTCTTTGTATATTTTGTTGTATTATGCAGAAAAATTTGAAGCAGTGCAGTTTTTTTGTCATTTTGCAAGTTAAACTTTACAAGCCATGTCCATATTGCAATGATGTTTTAGTACTAGTTTAACATAAAATCATTTTTTATTCTTCATATTTCCTCTAAATTTTAAATGTTAGAGCAAATTTGTTGCAATATTTATATATCCAGTTTTTTTTTTGTGCTACGTGTGAGCGTACAATATATATTCAGAATCAGATAACTTTCGTGTCATGAATTGTCGTCATAGTAGTTAACCGATAGCTCAAACTGATGAGGAATAACCAGGGCTCAGGAGCTGGTTTAAAGGCACCTATTGTTTTTTTAACCCAGAAGCTGGGCCCCGGCTTTATATCCGATGTTTTTCTGTATGACCGCAACTATGGCTCCAGTTCCCCAACCAGACTTCTCACGCTTACCCGTTTTGAGGTAATGAGGGCAGACAATAATCCAATTAGTAAATACCTGGTTAGACATGCAGCAGCCACAGTACCAAACCATATAAACCACCAAAGATAGTAAATCTGTTTCATGGAGGTTACTACACCTTCATGAATATTATTTTACTTGTTAATAATATTTCAAAGAACAACCATCATACATAATAGATGACTGTAAACTGGCTGTGATCCCAAACCAACACAAGCTCTGTCAGATATCTTCTTTCCTACAAAAGCTGCTCAGTTAACTATACAGCCTTTTGACTAACCGTCGCAAGTTCCGAATAAAACTTTAGATTCTGCTCTATAAACTACATTGAGTGCATAACAACCTGACATCATAATTCATTTCCATTTCGCCAATTTTATTTTGAACTTTATATTTACATCACAAAAGAAAGAAACAGCCTCATTTGCACACGTTTGAGGCAACATGGCAAACTAGAGATAAAAAATTTGATAAATAGAATGGATAGGTCAAATTGTTCTCTTTTCAACCTATCGATCAACTTCTCCAAACACAATATCCATAGTTCCTGAAAAAAGAATGAAAAAATATTATCCATATTCAACATGATGGGAGATCCAAATAATACTGACAGACATAGTCAAGGCTTACTGCTATGGACCAAGCCTGAATTAGGTTAGAGAATATTACTTCTGGTTGGACAGTTTACATACCTCATTCAAATATTTGGAACACATAATAGGGCTATTGAGCACACAGATACTTGGAATTTTATTTACGAATATTTAAGTATTGAGTATTTTATTTAAGTTTTAAATAGGTTTCCTAGATTTATAATTTTAGAAAATTTTGCTCAGAGCGAGTTCACCTGCACTCACGCACAAGTAAACGAGACTGATTACTGAAGTGCCAGTCTTGTGCAGATTAGAGTTTTTAAGCAGAATGACTAGTATAAAACTCTAAATGGAAAGCAAAAGCCATTGCGACATTCAGTACAAAAAATTAATCTTTCTGCATGCTTACCTATAATAGCGACCAAATCTGGTAACATTAGTCCAGTGCATACAAAATCAGTTGCGGCCTGTGAAAAATGTACATATTATTACAAATTGAATGCGGAAGATTCAAAAACGTTTATTAATATTAGACTTAGTTTTTTTTTAAATAAATAGCTTCACTAAATTAAGCTCGTAGTCCTGACAACGGTGGAAGCATTAGAAAGAGTTATTAAAAAAGGAGCTAAAACATTCATAAATATTTTATAATGATTGAATCTAATATTAGATATCCATTAATCTTCAATCAACAGATACTTGAACAAAACTTCAAAATTATTTGGGTCCGGTCTTTCCAGAAATGATATTTCGGCATCCTTAAACGAGCACTTCCTCGAGCGACTAATGATTAGTAGCAAATTAAAATTTTTATTATGGTGTTATAGTTCTTTTCGTATATATCCAAAGTCATTTTATAATAGGAAATTCAAAAAGTGGGGCTAATGATCAGTGTTCCCTCTAAGGTGTGCGCGTGTGCGCGCGCACACAGCTTTCAGAGGCTGCGCACACGCATAGATTTAATGCGCACAGACGTATTTCGATGTAATGCAACAATGTTCTCGGTTGGCAGGTTGAGGAAGTTTGTTGTTGGCCCACCTATTACCCGGTTAAAACCCCAAAATTTCTTCATTGGTTTTTGCACAAATATTAGTCATTCCCCAAAAAGTGCGCACACACCAAAATTTCCGCGCACACATTCGACAAAAACTTAGAGGGAACATTGCTAATGATCCAAAATAAATAATTAGGTGCGGTCCAAATCCAATACTTGAAAGGTCCGGATTCGGACCGCGGTCCGCCAGTTGAGTAGCCCTGATCTATAGCTTCAAAATTATTCTCTAAATACTACTATATTGTAAAAAAAAACTTCCTGCCAACATAAAAACTTACCAAATGGGCGAATCCTGGGGCTTTTATTTTACATCTGTATGGCTTACTAGATCCATCCGAGACCAAATACACACCAAATTCACCCTAGAAAAAAATACAAAGTTGGACAGAGAACTGATGGACGCAAGACAATAAGTCAATTTTGTCAAACGAAAAAGTTTTGAACGAATTTCCCTGAATAATATCATTCGAAAGTGTGTTTCATGAATTCACATGATTTAGAATGTAAAACATCAATATGACATCCCTTTTCCAACGCAAAAAGGACAAAAAAATCATGAAAAATAATAAATCATACAAAGCGTCATTTTCGGGTGCCGTGCCGGGTGCTAAAATCAAACCATACATTAATTATGCATGTACTTTAATCAAATATTAATGTATCACATATCGCAAAATATAAATATAAAGCTTGCCAAACTTATTATACGAGACATGCTTAGCCACAGTTACCGGTATAGTGCAAATTCTAGCAGCATAAAGCAAATTTTTTCAGATAAGCATTTAAAACTAGTAAAATATATACAAAATCAATGCAGAGGAAGAAATGAGTTTCATTCATTGCAATGACCAAATGCAGACCAGAATAATATTCAATGAGATGAAAACCCCTATTTTGGTCATACATTTGGAATTAGTCCACATTGCAACATGCTCAAATAGTAGACATTCATTACAACTTCAAAAACCAGTGTTCAGGGGTTCTAGGAAAATTCGCCGTAAACAAGTTTGCTGTAGGAAATGTCGCTGCAGGAATGTTTTACAGCAAAATGCTCTTGTGGCGATTTTTCCTATTAGGCGAAATTTCCTGCTGCAAGATTTCCTATGGCAAACTTGTTCACGCCGAATTTTCTGGGCACAGTTATCAGGTACCCGACTACTATGTCATTCAAAACAGATCAAACCCCGACTTGAAATCTAATTATTTCAAACAATTGAGATTTGGGAGGTCTGGTATTTCAATTTTCAATAATGGTTGAAAATTTTTTTGACTATAGATCCCATCTGAAATTTTGAGTCCGATTCCTGATAAGTTATATTTTCTACTGCAACTCAGACCCCAGACAAGTTTTACAATAAGACTCCATTATCAATAAAAACCTGCCACAAACTCGACTACACAGACATATATTTACAATGCCTTGAATATTTGAATGTTTTCATGACAGGATCACTCCTTTACCTCATCCTAACTCAAATATGATCTTCAATGATATATAATCCAATAAGTAAAATAAACCATCATCAACTACCAAATTTTAAGTCTTAAATAATCGACAATCCTGTAAAGCTCCAAATTAAGAGTCTGTTACCTTCGGAGCTTCAACCGCCGTGTATGTTGCACCTGGTGGGACTTGATATCCTTCTGAAAATAACTTGAAATGATGAATGACAGCCTCCATCGATTGCTGGAAAAAACAGAATATTAAGATTACAAGGTGTTTTTAAACTGGTATGTATATAACTACATGTATATAATGCTGTTTACTAGCAACCTAAAAGCCTAATTTATTGGTATTGGCATGCCAGTGTTTTTTGTTTGTTTTTTGTGTTAGTTTATGATGCATGTTCAGCCCCATTGTTATGAATAGCCCAATCGCTATTTAATATGCATTCATAAAAGTTGTCATCTATGTGAATATGAATCAAAAATAGGAGTCAAAAACACTGGAGAGTGTAGAAATGATTTTAAAACATTTTCTATTGTAAAGTATTCTTAGTTGTGAAGATTCGCCCTCATTTGTGCTGAGTGCATATAAGCTACCCGATACAAGTTGATTTTGAAATAAAGTCATCATTTTTACTAATTTAACCCACGACTGTCTGTAAAATCATCCAAACATGTAAAAGGATGTGAATAGTCATCAGAATCTTGCTGAAACAATAATAAGGTAAGAATGCTTTCAAAAAGAAAGTTGAAGACCTAAAGACGGAGCAATCCGTTCTTCACAACTGTCATTTCCATATTACTCAAGAACTTTAATGTTGAAACCTTCTGATTAAAGTGACAAATAAAACAACTCTGACAGTTGTAGAGTAGAATAATTTCCAACTTACTTTCATTAGAGCACGACTAGGTGGGGATATTTTGTTGTCATCAATTTTAATATCTCCTGGCGGCATCTTATTTAGACATTGTTCCATTATTCGTAAAGATTGTCTCATTTCCTCAACCCGACAAAGATATCTGGAAAATTGATCAAACGTCAAAACTTATACAAAATAGTTGCTATACCAAAAAATCAAAACTTAACAGTTTTGCACAATCTCGTAAATTCAAGATGGCATCCCTTCCCCCATGAAATTCCATCCATTGGAAATGTCCTCCATGGTCATAACTCAGATCATACCTTAGTCTCCCATTATGAGGCTTTTATTTTAGTTTTTTATGTTATGTCATATTTTTGAAAGCTTTCGAATTTTCTTGGTGAAATTATCACGATTGGAATTAATCAGACATCAAGTTTAAACCTTAGATCAGGGGTTCCCAACCGGTATTAAATATACCGGCTGGCTGACTCAATATGTTCAATGTTAACCTACATGAAAAATGAGTTACATGAGTTATTATAGGTATTTGTAGAATTGAAAATGTAAAAAATTGGAGTAAATTTGCAAAGGGCAATGAAGGTTGAAAATTTTTTTATAATGCCGGTTTACCGCTTTCACTCCAAACAAGGCAAGATACGAGCAGCCACTGATATCTAACGATGTGTATTATTAGGAAGTACATTCAAACCTGTCATAGGTATCCCCATTGGACCCGATGGGAACATCGAATTCAACTTGATCATAAGCATCATATGGTTGTGATTTACGAAGATCCCATTTAATTCCAGATCCACGGAGCATGACACCACTGTAAACAGATTGGAATAGTTGATAGAATGGGTTAATAACTGAAGCAAAATTGAATGTATACTTTATTATGTCCAGTAGGATATGTACAATGTTACTGCCAAATGTATAACCAGAGGTAGCATATTCAGAAAACACTAAATAGTCAATAAAAAAAATCAAACCTGAACCCAAGATTCAAAGCATCTTCAGATTTGACAATACCAATATCTACTGTTCTTTGCTTCCATATACGATTGCCAGTCAACATCTGAAAATAAAAGATATTTAAACAATATGAAACAGTTGGGTTGACTAAATATTAAAATTTTAAGCCTTGTTGGAGTACAAAGACTCAGTTTAGTCCATGCTTCCGAAAATAAATAACTAATCCCCTGCCTGACATGGAATAGTAACCGGACGAGAGGCCGTGGTTCACCATATGGTTAAGTTGTCTTATCGGCTTCTTCTCCCCAGAATAAATATTTAAATCCTTTTCTATACAATTTAGTAGGTAGATTGAAAAGAGGTTTATACGTTTCCCAGAAATTAAGTCTACACAAAACTCGAAATTAATTTTATTTTGATTATCAAATACTCACACCAACACGCAATTAATTAATACCAATGAATATTATTAAAAAGGTCCTTCATAATATAAAATAATAATAACCTCTTCCATTTCATCAACACGAGCTGAAAATTTGATCATCCAATCGTATAAATCATCAAGTAATCCAATTGGAAGATCTTGACTGACACCTCCTGGTCGAACATATGCTGCATGCATTCTTGCACCAGATACTCTCTCATAAAACTCCATCAGCTGAAAAAAGAAAGCGCTATTTACATTTAAAAAAAACACGGGAAATATTTGCATTAAGTTAAGATTTACCACATAATGAATTCATAACTGCACATTCAATCCAATTATCTGACAACTATAGGCAGAAAAATATTGAAAATTCAAGGAGTAAAGAATGTAATATATCTGCTTCCATGATTATGAACTTTTATTGTGTCAATTTAGAAATGGAGATACAGATACAAAAGTAGCATGATGTCTGTAGAAAAATTCATATGCTCAATAAACATTGAATAAATACAAATGATACAAAACTGCATCCTAAATTTTTTATCCATTTATATCTCTTCTATTTTACCACTGATAAACTTGTGATTTCAATATACCAGACCTTTTCTCTTTCCTCAAACATCCAGAAAAATGGAGTCATTGCTCCGATATCAAGTGCATGAGTTGTTATGCCCATCAGATGATTTAGGATTCGAGTAATTTCAGCAAACAAGACTGGAAATAAAAAAGTAAAGATGCATTTATTTTTCAAATTAATCCGAATAAGTTGATCTATGTACAAATTATATAAAAATATTTAAATGAAAACAAATAAACTATAATCTTATCCAATCAGGAATTCGAGAGAATCTGACCAAGAATTATCAAATGGAACTGACCTCTTATCCATTGTGCTCTGGGTGGTGGTGTTATACCTAGAAGACGTTCAACAGCAAGGCTGAAGCATTGTTCATTCACCATCATGGATACATAATCTAATCGATCGAAATATGGCAAAGCCTGTAGAAAGATATCATTACATTAGATTTAGTTTGTTTACTAGAACTGAGCTGACTCTAGCTCAACTAACAGAGTTATGATTTTTCAAACAGTCAAATGGGTTTTGTATCACAGTACCTTGGTCAAATACCTTACATCACTCAAAACGAAATGTGAAGTCGAAAATGTAAATGGTTTGACTCAATATAAAACTGATTGATTAAACAATGATTTGGATGCTGACTTCCACAAATTATATTTCATCCATTAAGCCATATTGTGTCTTTATATTCAAAAATGTGATTTCTGATAGAAATTCAAGAAAGCAACACTCAAAAATGCGGTAATAAAATTCATATAATAGTGTTACCATGAGTCATTTAAAAGTGTTCCCATAAATAAATACAGAAAACAAAATTTTAGATGAAAAGCCTCATAAGAATCAGAAAATATACTAAAACAGCGACTTCTTCCATTTTTAATAAATACTTATAATTAGATCCTGACTGGACCGTTGAAGTAAAGAGATTTTTTCACACGCACAATCCCAACACAAGCAAACATTTCTTGTCAATGTTATTGCTTGAAAATTTTCATATATTTTTCAAACAGCCTTTTTGAATAATTACCTGTGTATATGTCTTGTATTCGATTAGTTTTTCTGTTGCACGATGGAGCAATCCTATGTGCGGATCTGCCTTGATCACCACCTGAAATATATACAAATCAATAAAGCTATTCAACATAATTTCATAGCTACCAGACAAATGACTAAAATTGAAATCAGGTATGAACACTTTTGTAATAAAATGATATTCTTATTAGAGCGCCATAATATGAAAATACCAAAATACTAATGTACTAATAAAGGTTAAATTTTATTCATGAAATGATATTTCAGAAACCTCTCCAACAAGTTCCAATATTAATCTGAGCACTCCATGAGCTGCAGGATGTTGCGGTCCGAAATTCAACTTCATTGAATCAAGTTTGGGTACAACAGTCGTTGGTACTGAAATATTAGAATAGAGATTTTTTCCCAAAAAAAAAAAAATTACCAAAATGATCAAAATTGTAAGAGTACTTTTCGTCTCCCTGTTTATATTCCTGTATGTTTCAATCATGACACAAATAGTCTTACAAGTGGTATATTACAAAATAGCATAGAAACTCACAAGTATTGAACATAAATTAAGAGGCACACAAACATCACACAAGCAACACATGAGGAGTTTAATACTCAAAATATAGCAGAAGAGTTTAGAAAATGACTACCGGTATTATAGTTTCGCTATTGAATTTCTGGGTAAGGATAGCCAATAAACAAGCCCCAAAAAAACTTGGTAAAAAAGTTCTATACCTTTTTCCTGCTCTGGCTCCAATTTCTCAGGATTTGGTTCTTCAAGATGTTCATATCGGACTCGTTGACCCAAGAAATCTTTTATAAAATCATAATCAGGTTGCCACTGAGCAGTCCTGTAATGACAAAAAATGGCAGGGTGAAAACACACTTAAAAACATTCCACATGAATATGTAATATACATTGCCATAACTGTTTAATAATATTAGCCGATTAAATGAAATGGAAATTTATATAATAACTTAATTGTCTGCTATGCTTCAATTTGTTTAACATTATAATGATAAATGTTAAAAAGTATATATACTGGGAGAGAGAGAGAGAGGTGGTGATTCAAACCAGGGGTGTGCAATCATTAATAAAAGTACTTCTAGTTGGCCTGGCTCAACAATTTCTGCATATGCCATTCCTAACCTTCACCTGAGTACGTAATTTAAAAATTACATCACTGCGAATCGCAGGTATCTGCAATGCAAAAAGATTGAAATTACTTTACATTCCAGATTAAAATAAATTGAGGCCAGGCCAGACACAATTTCAAATTGGCACTTCTACGTGGGCCTTCTCTTTGTGGGCTGCATTTGGCCTGCGGGCTGCAGGTTGCACACCCCCGATTTAAACAGTTAGATTAGTAGTGGTAGGCAAAATTCACAATTATCAAAGCATCCCGGTATTAAAAAAAATTCGCAATACATATCATAAAAAACTCAAGTTACCTCTTGGATGTCACTAAGGGAGAGAAGATTCTTGCATATAAAACATTATTGGAATTTCCATTTATTTGCAAGCATTTCACCAGATGCCTACAACGCGGCAATATGGAAGCCATGACTTTGGACTTTACAACATAATAAGATAATCAATGCTGTGATAAAAAAAATTGATAATGACAGAATGTTGTAATACAGTAATAATTTCAACATTTACCTCAATTGATGGTGTTTCGAAGAAAAAAGTACAATACATTTGTATTCATTAATTTTGACATTTACCTCAATTATCCTACCATCAAAGCTATAAAGAAATGATATAATAGAAAGCACATTCTATTAAAAATTATTATGACAGCAAAAAAAAAGCCAGAGATTCAAGACTCAATGGTACAGCTCCTCTACTAACGAGGTTTTGTAAAATAATACCAAGGAAATCACTGCATTCCTTGTATTCCGATTCATATTTATTCAAACTCTCAATGGAAATAGACTCAAGTCCTCTGTTCCACTTTAGATGTAAAATAACTGCGAGATTAAATATTTTACGCAGTGTTCCTTGTATCATCTTATCTGCTTGTTTCTTTTCATGTAGAAGACACAAAGTCATAACACGGTCCAAGAATTTGTGGTGAGCTTTAATAATGTCATCAATATTGTCTGCTGCACCAATGTGGGTGAAAAATACCTCTTTTTCTGCTTGGATTACACTCGTCATAACGAAATTATGCCAATGCAATATTAGTCGCAATATTTTTGAACGAAGTAGGGCAAGCCGATGAGCATATACCAAACTGAACCCGGTTTCAGATTTAGACTTTGGCTGAATAGTGTTAAACTTCAAATTTTGTAGACAAAACAAGCAGTGTTTCATCTGCATCAAATATCCAAATATTGAATTATAGGATTCTCTGACCCAGTCGGTAAAAATAACATTTAGTGGCCAGTTGATATCAAAATACAACTCTATAATATCTGTCGCCTGAATCAAATTATAGGCATTATTTGTAGCATGTTTTGATCTATTCAAAGTCACTGTTATAAAAGGAAGAGCAGCTTCGGGATCTCTGTCGGATATTGCCTCCTGAAGAGATGCTCTCAGACTCATAATGTCTTCCCAATATTCACCAGAACTCATTTTTCGAAAAATGGTTGAAGTGAAGTCAAATATAACATCACCCCATTCCATTAGGTAAAATTTATGAAAGCATTCAATATTGAAAATAAGTTTGTACTGATTTAAAAACATTTGCAGCAAGGCTTGATCAGCAGTTTGAGACTTAACTTTAACCAAATTATGAAGTGAACTTTGAATTATGGTGGGGACATGTATTTGCTTGTCAACATTTGTTGCAGTTGCATTAAATCCAACATCAGGCATATCTGAATCTTCAAACAACCTTTTAAAATTCAACAGTAACATGCTATCACATGCACTCTTTCCTTCAAACAGATTTTCCTTTTGGGGATTTTTGGTAATTGTATTCACGCTTGTAGACATACTATGAATAAATGCATCATGAAAACTTAATTTAGATTCATTTTTCTCAACTTTTCCTAAGGCAAGCAATACCTCCATTGATTTACCTGCAACAATAACATTGTGCAGAACACTACGCAACCATGATAAATGTTTCATACAATCTTCTGATGCCAAAATAAATGCATCATTCCAAAAAGCTTCAGACTTGACATCGTGACAAATAGGTGAGCGTTGTACTATAAATTCATAGTAAGGGTCAATAAGGGATCCATGAGACATCCATTCATCCATCATATCAAAATAAGGACAAAGAGCATCTGCCCAAAGTTGAATGAGAACATTCCATAATTGCGACTGCTTCAAAGATTTTGTAAGACAATCAGATTGATCCAATATGCTATTATACAAAGTCCCCAATAAGCGAGATGATTTTTTAGCATTAGAATCGCTGGGTTTGTCTAGAGAGACACTGTTTTGCAAAACATCATGAATTACTGAAAGTTCATGTAACCGAGGAGAGAGAATTTTTATAACATTTCCTAACAATAAAGTTTCCTCATGAAGAAAGATACGCCGCTGCAGGCTCATTAAGTCGGCACGGAATGATTTCATGAAATTTAGAAGAGATTCTGAGAATGCTTGATAGGTTTGACACTCCTGTTGTGATGTGGTGAATGTGAAATTGATGATATTCCGCACTATGTCACCATACCTCGCGATCTTTAACAAAGCAGTCAAATATGATGTTGGAGTAGCATGATTAGTTTTAATTTCTGCATTTGGAACGTGTTTGCCATTTACAAATGGAAAAACATGAAGATTTTGCTCCCCACTCAGAAGCCACAAAACTTCTCTGAGTATGTAAACTTCTTTAATATCAGATTCTGATAGTTTGCGGAAACTTTCCAAATCACAGTGTATACTAGTTTTGTTAGCTTTCCAATATTCTGGTACTAATTCGCAACATACCTGTAGTTTATTAATGTTCTTAATTTTATTTTCTTTGGACTTTAAGGTTATTGAGGTATTGAGTGTTGTATCATTTCTGTGCAGGACATCATGTAAAATTAGTTCTTCATCCTCAGAAGTTGGTGGGGTATCATCCCAAGCCCACTGTGTCGGATATGGAAGTTCTTCCCCTTGTAATAAATATTTGGGCCAGTCAAACAACCCACAGTCTTGTTTTTGTGGAGAATTTAGTTGAACGTAATCTGTGTTGACAGGGTTTTCTGATAAATTCAACAATATTGACAGAAGACAGTAATGTATTCGACTTCCAGTGCCAGATGACTCACAAATGTTCGATTCAGAAAATGACACCTTGAGGTTTTTAAGAAGTTCTGCTTTACGCGGTTGTGAATTAATCAGAAATTTTTCACACATCCCATCAATCCAACGTTCTACCTTGCATTCGTTAACATCAAGAAAGCTATGATGCTGGAACCTGGACAATGCAAACGCTTTACAAGCATCATGATTTCTGCCTCCTTCTTCATAGCATGTTAAACTTTTAACAAGTCTTGCCGTTGCATTTGTAACCTTCTTGCTGAGTTTTAGATCGGAAATCATTGCACAGTTATAGAAGTCTGAAAACTAAGTCACAATAATTTAACAGGTTCCTTAACACAGTAACAGTTACAGTACCTAACATTTGGCATCAAGTGCGAGGCGCAGTTCTTACCACTTCATGGCAGCTCCTGCCACGAACGAACCGCGGCAGCTCTTGCCATGGTTTTATAGCGCTATTCAGTAATGAGTATTGACGGTATATTCACAAATTAATGTACCAGATTTTAATTGATCATGCGGATTTATATCTACTTAAACCCTAACCCCAAATCCACCTAAACTGTATCCATAGGAAAAACGTTCCAACTTACCCAATATTTGTCACCATAAGGGACAGCCCTGTCTTTACGGCCCACCTGCCGTAGTTACGGCAGCAAAATTTTACCTGCCATTGGTTTTCAGTTTGCTGCCGCGGTACCTTAACGGCAGCTCGTCATTGGTTTGTGGCAGCTAAAAAGTCAGTCGCCATAGGTTTGGCTGTAGCGGCCATGGTATGGAAATATCGCCATGGTTTTGCGGCAGCTGCAGACGCCACAGAGTACTTAAAACTGCACTTGTCAATTGCGAGCGCCGCCGGTCCGTCGCTGGTTGCGTTCGCCTCACCTTCGGTTCTCCGTCGGTGCTCTTGACTGAGTGTTGGCGGTGGCCGATAAGTTTACTTTGAAAAAATTAGAGGTTCAAAGCAGGCTGTTCGCCTGCATAGTGTTGCATGGAATAGGACCTCGGTTCTATTTTGTTAGTTTTCGGAGCACGAGGTAATGATTATTAAGAGGGACAGTTCAAAATATGAATTTTTGATATTTTATTGACATAGCTAATTCCCAACGTTTAGTAGGCCTACTCAATAACAAAAACAAGCACATATTTGCCCTGATTAAGGTTACTTAATTATTCAATAAATTCTTTTTGCTGCATAGCAAGTCCAGCCGTGGCGCAATGTTTGTTTATGCAGGCCTAAATGATGAATTACAATGTCTGACCACCGATGGCCTGGTCCCTATCCGTAATTGTTCACTCTTATTGAGAAAACTTAGCATAAGGCATCAGTTTGTGCGCTCCAAATTATCAGGGAAAAGCTCATGAAGCACCTAAACGAAAAATATGCTGCTTCAAAATAAAGCACAATTAGTCATCGTTTATATGTACTTTATGCCCTTTGAAGCTAATCAAAGTTAACTTTTCTTTATTATCTCTGCCTAGTTTTTCTTTAAAACGCTAAAAAATAGCTCATGTTCGATCAACTCGGTTCAGCAAATGAATAAACTACAGCCTACGAAATTGCAGCATGTGTGGTTTACTTCTTCTGTTACGTGGCAATAGGCCCCAACGTAACAGAAAGTAAACAATATAGAACGGTACAATGAATTTGATTTGTATACAAATCATTTGCGAATAAAACATTTAGAACAAATAAAATATGAGATATGTTTAGAGGCGCACTTAGCTAATCGGGTCTTACGATCAGAATATGCATTGGTATGCAAGCGCGATGACCATGTTTCCCCGAAAAGACCTAACAGAAGACCTAGCCTGAATTTCAAAAATGGTTTTAATATAAGCGCTACCCTTAAAAAAGACTTCGTTGATAGCGCATTTTTTTTACCTAGTCCAGTGGAAGTGCGTCGTTTCAATTTTGTGATGGTGTTATAATAAATAAGTTTAATTCCGAAAATTCGTTTTTTTGTAGATAAAGATTATTTTTTCTTTATTTTTCAAGAAGCGTTGCGCACTCCCATCCCCCTTGCGATTTCGTATTTTTATAAAGCAGGCTTTTCTACCATGGCCTATTAAATGTGATTTCACTGAATTCCGTTAGGTTTTGTTTGTTCGTTTATATGAAACTCATTGCAATAAAGGTCTTTTATTAAAAGGTATCTCATACGTATTTTTACGTGAAGTCGCGACTTGAGAATATTTTTGGAGGGCGTCACAATACAATGAAGTTCGAGAACCACTGAGTCCTAGTCGATAGCGAGAAAACTTTTCTACTTCAATAATCTATATGTAGCAGGTATTTTAAATGAAAACGTTCTATTAAATAGGTAAATGGAAATAGCTATTCATATTTTGTATATTAAAAAATCTCGTTATTTTCTACATTCCCCCAAAATAAGCCCTAGTGATATTCTCGAAAGAAAATTGAAGACACTGTCTTATTTCTGGGGAAACACGGTATAGAAATGTACCAGAAATCGTAAAATTTTTGTTTTACACAATTTTTAATAATTGTGTTTCGAATCAAAAGACTGAAAAAGTACAATAGATATAGTACTTCGTGCAAATTTGGTGTTCACTATGCGGCCCCTAAAATTCGATTTGCGGCCCCTTCCAGGGCCGCAGCCCCTAGTTTGGGAAGCCCTTTCAAAGGGAGTTTGAGGGGCGTTGACCTGGCAACCACTAATGTACTGAATATATATATTACATGAGCTATATATTTCCTTAAACTTTAATCATGTATTAGAGTTTTGCAGGCCATGTTGAACATGCTGCATTAAAATTATTTTTACGGCGTCGCTTTTAATTATTTTAGTGTCAAGGCTTGGAATAAAACCAGGATACAATTTCGATGCATTATTGCCGAATCTATCAAGTAATTTTCTGAAAATCAAAGTAAATTTATATCCGCTTAGGCCTCTCATAAATGACCAATACGAAGGAACATTATTATGGGGCTCAAAAATACACACTTGAACTAATACACAAGTGCATAAGCCGTACAGTAAAGCATCAAAATTAGAAAAATAGGGCAATATATTTACAGATACCGCCTTCATACACAGTATTTCAAGCAATTTAGACAATCCGTACATTGTAATTGCTGTGCTAGGGTAAAATACAGAACTTGATCCAGCAACGAGTCCAGAAATGGCTCCAAATAATTCATGATAATCACGTCCTATCAATCTTCTAAGGAAACAGTTGGTCAATTTAAACAAGCCAGTATAAGCACAGAAAAACTTTGCCAACGAAAAGTCAAAAGCGACTTTTCTTAATACTAAACTTTGTCTATTTGTTAAAGCCTTGAAAATGGCACGATAACAGAATATCAATTGCATTAGATAGCCTAAAGCAAAATGTTTGACCGAACTTGATGCGGCGTTGGACAAGCAACCACTTGTATGTCGACAGCACAATCGGTGAAAAATGAACTGCTTATGTCCAGACGACATATTTACCTTCTGCTTGATTTGATAGACTTCATTGATAGATGTAAAGAATTCTCGTTCTTCCCCGAATACTTTGGCAAGAATTGATTGCATGAAAGTAGGCAATTTTGAACCTCTGTAAAGCCCCATGTATAAGGAACTGATAACAGCGAACAAGTAGGTTACTCCTCCATTGATAGGCTCCACGCACCCTCTGGATGTCAACATTTTGAATATAGTTTGCATGGCAATATTAAGTGCGTACACAGCAAGCATGCCTCGTCTCGACTTCTTTTCAATAAGAATGCTAAAAAACGAACAAAAAAATCCGACGACGAGGCCAAAAATGCCATGGAATTTTCCGAAAATTTTGTAATACCAACAAAATGCCATCATAAAATATGTAGAATTCATTGTAAGAAAAAATGTCGAACGTAGTATAGCAATTATGGTATTTCTTGCAAGCTTCTTCCTGTTTAACTTTGTGCTTCTCAGTTTCCATATTGCTATTAGAGTGTAAAAGGGAACATATAGCTTCAGAGAGAATACAAGCGCCTTCCGAAATATGTCGTACTGCGAAGATATACATGAAGAATTCCAAGTGTGCCCCAACTCGTAGCATGTACAATGAACCGCATCAAACGGACCAAGTTTAGTCTGAAAATCATTGCATCTTGCCTCTTTGCTAATATTGATCATCTTGCTGTTTTATTTCCTTTTTATTTCTTCAAACCACATTACCCAAACGCTAAATACGAAACAGATCGGTAATACTAGTGAAAAAATATATTCAATATGACATAAAACCTATCTGTACTGAAAACAGCATGTACATGGATGGAATAAAGAACAAAACACTACTGAATAGCTACGCATTAAACATTCTTTAGCTTCATCAGGGATAACACGCTCCGATAGATTTTACGGTTCATCGTTTCGTTTACGTAAAAAGTAATGCGCGTAACCTACGTGTGCAACATGCTACCGGTAAGTTAAAAAAGAAGCAGGGTATTTTATTGAATCATGTCACAAAAACTTTCTATCCGTCACGTCACCTGGTTTACTTCGCTGGGTAAGTATGATAAAGCCACTGTTGATTAAAAATAGTTACTTTTGATGACTATGTAAAATCATAGCCTAGCTTTGACAAATTAACAACATAATTTACTGGACCGAACCCGTTGCAAAGGTTCGAGGTATTGGTATCCAGGCCGAATATCGTGTCACAAAAACTTTCTATCCGTCACGTCACCTGGTTTACTTCGCTGGGTGAGTATGATAAAGCCACTGTTGATTAAAAATATTTACTTTTGATGACTATGTAAAATCATAGCCTAGTTTTGACAAATTAACAACATAATTTACTGGACCGAACCCGTTGCAAAGGTTCGAGATATTGGTATCCAGGCCGAATATCGACTGTCACAACAGCTACTGTCATAATGGCGACTTCATAATAGCGACGTTATGATAGAGACTTAATTAACTCGTGTTAGGGTTGGGGACCTCTCTACACACGTATGCACGCACAAACAGGCAAACACTGCGTAGTGAAAGATCGAAACCAAGAGGGACCTTAAAACAACATTTTATTTGAACTAACCCTAACCCTATCATAACAGTCGCAGTTTCAATGCGGTCGCCATTATGACAGTTGCTCACTAGATTCCGTCGCTAATATGAAGTCGCCATTATAACAGTGCTATTCTGACAGTCGCATTTGGAACCCGAGCCGAGATATTATCGATTTTGTGAAGCGACCAGACATTCGTTACTCATACTTTGCTTCCGTACACGATGACTGCATTCAGACTCTTTGTCTAATCTAATGGAAGAACCAAATAAAGAAATATATATATTGATGTTTACGCCAGCCCACGTACCGCGGCATGATTTCAATACTTTCTTTCAATCTGCAGCAAGTAATAGCCTATAGCCCTACATGACCAAAATAATTTTGCGCATCATCACCGAATTCTCTAGCATTATTGAAGTTATTGTTTTTCCTCTGAATCTTTCTCTCAGACCAAATTCGATTCTATCTTGATATTTCAATATAATATATATAGATTATATTAGAATAAGTTTTCGCTACACGCCACCTATGCATTGCGTAACTTTTTTTGAGACATCTTCGATAAATATATGGAAGCGAGTAAGCACATGCGGAGAAAACGACTACATGGCCTAAATACGCCTTGATGTCAATACTAGAATTACCAAGAAATAGTCATTGTTACTACTTATAAAAATATAAATAATAACACAATTTGACGAATACCAAAGTTAATTTAACAGCAAACTGATATATTGCAAAAATTTCATTCCTTAGTATTCAGCGGCGATTATACAGACTTGAGTATTTCGTGGGTAAATTTATATATATATATACGGTATGTATACTATCGCATCATTCATGAGAACTATATTTCCACGTTTTCATAGCAAAATTTTGATTCAACACAAATGGAACTATTTATTTGAAGTTTTCCACTATTTGAGCGAAATAAAATAAAGAAAGAGTTTGAATTCATCAAGTGATGACATAAATATGACGTATTGTCGAATAAAACTTCTAAAATCTCCCACTGAGTTTTGGCATGTAAAATATGAACAGCTGCTGATGATTGTTTTAGTAGGTAATACTATACTGGCACACGAGGAACTAACCGTATACGCGATGATGCATGATACCAAAAAGAAATGATAAGATATTGTGTATGTATTTTGAACTATACTCCCCGCGTGGATTGTTTACAATTATACTCATCAATGAATTCATTCATTCATGTAAATTCATTCATCGGAACTTATTAGTAAGTAGTTCCAACTCTTTTGAATGAGGCATTAAGGCGGACAAATATATCGCCTTTTTTAATTTCGGAAACTCCCATCAGTGCTATCCAACAGCAACCTATTTATTTGTATTTGCAAGCAAGAGGCATGCTTTCGGCGTCACAAGGCAAAGTGAGAGTTTCATTGAAAGACATAATCAAAATCAAGGTTGCAAATGCTTTCTTGCATGCCTGCGACGGACTTTCAGGATCGTTGCACTGTTTGTTAGTATTTGAAACCCTATCTCTACATTGGCATCCATACATTGTATTTGATCTCTTCTTTTTCTTCGTAAAAACCTTGTCCATATCTGCACATATTATTAGATGACCATCATACACCACTTTCTAGATAAAGATAAAAAAAATACTGTTATTTGGGAAAAAATAATCTCATGTTAACTAAAAAGTAAAACGAGAATATCGGTCAGAGACCGAAGACTTATCGATTAAAAGTTAGGGGATCCCCCAAACAGCGCTCTTACCCCACAGTGACACCTTGTGTCCCATCACTAATTATTTAATAACTCGCTAATTATACCACATAATTCGCCCAAGGCTTCTGGTCAATAGGCTTCTGGTCCGAGATATGATAAACGTACATGCAAAATCTGGAGCAGATTCAATCTCGCTTTCGTGAGATATCGCGTGCAAATAACAGACAGACAGACATACAGACAAATACCTATCAACATACTTACCGATTAAAATCGATAAGTAATAAAGATTAGGAACAAGTTTTTCTGACCGTGCGCTTCACTTACATTCAGAATGACCTAATGAATATTTTCAGAAGACTTTGTACAGTAACGAATAATGGTTTGAATAAATGCCGAAGGTTATTTCGTACGCATGTATCAAGGCTATTCTGTATTTTCTCTTGGAATAATCCAATTTCTTTGTGAGAAATTAGAATTAATGTAAATGTGACAACCCAATAATGAGTATTATATATATAAACCTCTGAAGTGCTTGGATCTGTAAGTGCGTGAATATTGCAAAATTAAGGAGCTTACCGAGGCTATAGGGACAGACAGGGAAGTAAGGACCTTACCTTATAGCATCAATCATGACAAAATCATAACTTCTTCACAAACATATTAATACCAAACCAAACAGGGCATTCCATTAAATATTCAAAGAGCCTCGAAACTTCGTACCATTGTTGCATTCATTTGCTGCCAAGACTCAGTAAAGTTGACAGTGTTTTCACAATTCTTCCCTGATCTACACGAAGGACATTGACATCTTGGAGGAGGATTAATCCACTTTCCAGAATGACAAACCATGTTGTTTGAACCCTATAAAATATATTGGCCATCAGACTAAAGTAACAAGAATAAAAAAAAGGTGTTGTGATCAGATCGATGAGAGATATTAAAGGTTTTTTCATACATAATTGCTGTCCATTTGAGACTTTGAAAAAAACAAACCACTGTGGCATCCATTTCATTTATTTATTTTGTATACGATTTTTTCATTGCTTTCTTTCTGAACAAAGCTTTGTTCTATTTGAACTTTCACTGATATGCAATTGTTACACCCGGGAAGAGGTGATGGGCACGAGATATGAACCCGAGTGGACCATCACGCCAACTAGTACCAGAAGCTAGTACCATGTAAGACTACTATGGTTGGAGCATGATTATTAATAATAAAATAAAAAAACAATAAAAGAGTGAAAATTCACGATATAACTGAACGTTTTTCTCACCACCATAGTAAAATTGTCATCACACTTGAAAGTGCAACGGCTGTTTTCAAGGCGACCTATCGTGCATGTGTGAGTACTTTTTGGTGGATCAGCGAAATATGGACATCCTGAAAGAACACGATAATAAATATTAGTAATTCATACAATTCCCATTGTAGTAATAACCAATATTTTAGACTAGTTGAATACACACCTTCGATGCATTTTATTTCTGAAGTCATGTTCCAATCACCATTGTCCTGACAAAGACCATACGTTTCATTTGCGTCAAGTGACATTGCATTCTCGCATGAAAACTTGCATGTTGTACCATTAGGATACGTTGTATCTTGCCATTTGTTTGTATCTCGATAATATAGACTAGTCTTTGGTGTGTTACAGGTGACAACGACGTCGCCGTCTGTTGTTGGCTGACCACATTGAACCACTACAAAACAATGGTATTTTGTATTGTTTCGTTGCTAAGTAAATATTAATTATTGTTGGGTTAAACATAACGCTCGAATAAAAATTCGTGAAGGATTTCGGGACTGATATTTCCCGCAAGCTAACTTCCTTGTTTGCTGGCGTAACATTGGCTAATCAACAAGACGATAACAATGACGTAACAATTGAAATTGCACGAAGCCATATAATCAGACATGGTTGTAAACAACAAAACGTGTTCGTGTTTTTGCTAGCTATTTTTCAGTTTTTATTTGTATTTTCCCCCGCTAAAAAATTAAGAATTTAGTTATAGTAATGCAGATTGCACAGAAAATTCAAATTTCCAAATCATTCCTGGCCCTAAATGAATATTTACTAATTTCTTATAGTAAAACGTGGCAAGGTGTTTCTCACAAATCTCACATTTTTGCATTAGTGGCGAGGGCTTTGTACAAAGATTGTCATTTTGTTTTTTGATAAGTTTTAGTTTAGTTGCGGCAATCTAAAATTAGTCCCGAAAAAGCTGCGATAGACTATGCTAAAATTAGCTGCCGGTACTTTTGAAGGACAGCTAGTTGAAAATGTTCATACAAAGTTCAGAACTTCATGGGCCATAGAAACATCCATCTGCCTATTCTGTGGTGCGTATATCATAAATGCTAATCAATCTATGACAATAGGGAATATTGAAAGCAAAATTTGTGTGAGGTGTGTTTAATTGGGCCGTTTCACGAATTGGAGAAGTATCAGAAATAAATTCATTAATCGCGAACTACTGCATTGGCTGCGCCAAGCTACATCTGCAAAATGTCTGGCTAATATTATATATAGTTTGTTCACCTTTTTCGCAATATGGTTCTTGTCCAGACCAATAAAAGTTTGAGATTGAATCAACTTGGCATGTTACAGTGGGAGATTGATCAGTTCCTGTGAATTTCATTTTGAACCCTTCAGGACATTCGAAAGTGCATTTAGAATTTTCGTAATTTCCGTTAGTGCATTGTACAGATCCACCATTTGCAGGAGGTGTCAAGGTGGAACATTGTCGAACTGCGAAAGGTGAAATATATATAGTTTTAGAATGTAAGATCCACTATAGTAATTTATATATTTTGGACACGAACGGCCCAATCGATTTTAACTCTCCGGTACTTACTCATGGAAGAAGTCGCTAGAATAAAATTTTCCTATTTTTGTCAAATATATATCTGTTTCCTGAGGGCCCGATATTTCATCATGAGTTTTGGTGCTACACGGACATACCTTCACATAATATTCGTTACAATTATTTTAACCTTTTAGTGTTTTTTTTCTAATATTACGAGGGACATACTAGTCATTTGACCTTTGTGTACATATACGTGAATATTGCTCTAAAATCCATACAAATATTAGAGATTGGCACCACATAGTGATAGTATGAACTAGAAATAGCGATTGTTTCAAGTCGCCATTTGATTAGCCTCCCCCGTACAGGACATATATATAATGAAGAAGACCAATAATATATTTATCGTACTTTTTCTGCAAAATGGTAGAGGCCCGGACCATATTCCATCTTTGTTGCACCTCAATGCTGTCGAGTTTACATTCAGCACAGCACCATCAGAACAATTAAACGTACAGAATGTATCAGGAGGTGCTATGTCTCCCTTCAATTTTACAGATGAACAATTACTCCTCAACTTTGAGTTTGGTGAATTGAAGCAATTAAGACAACATCCTGAAAATTTGTATGAATATATAAAGATGCTTATGAAATCTGTTAAACTCCATGTAAAGTTAACCGTATATCGCGTCTACAACTTTAAATAACCCAATCCAATAAAAAAGATTGCATAGGATATTTTCTACAGAATCAATGACTGAGAATCGTGATTTGATTGTTAAAGACCCGTTTTCTGATTTCAGATCAGGAATACAATGATGCTCCCAATAAATTACACTTATTAGAATAGTGTTCATCTATTACAATATCAATACAAAAGAGATGAATGCATAGGATTTTCACTGGCAAGACTTTCGCTGATAAATTGCGCTTTTGTCAGACTGTTGCCATAAGAATCTTTTCATAAATCAGATTTGGTTCCATTACATTTGAACCCACGTACATTTGAACCCATGGCAATTGCACCTGTATGCTATTGCACCTATGAAATTTTTTTTGTTTTTCGGATAGTTGAACCCACACTAACCCTAACCCATGGGTTTTAGCACCCGCATATAGATTGAACCCGTGGATATACACATGGGTTCAAATGTACATGGGTTCAAATGTACGGTCATCAGATTTACCTCTCTCAAATTGATTGGGTTGCACAAAATGCATTATTGTGAATGTCGCGGATGCAAATATAATACCGATGAAGATGTGTGTAAATGGTGGTGATTTCATACAACTACACCTTCCTCGGTGAATCTCGGGCTGCGGTAAATCGACATCAGGCGATGCACAGCGCTTGGCATAATCAGTATGGTGTTCTAAAGCAAATGAATTGAAATATTATAATTGAAGTAAAATGTAACTAAGAAATCTATGTTGAAAGTAGTCTTCAAATTGGAATGTACTCTTATTAAGACAATATTTTCCGCTATGTAATTATATGAAGATGAAGTTAAGTTACATTTCCGATATATATATAAATCTTCAAAAGTCAAGGACAGATAATCCATAAATCAGTATAAAGCATTATCCACGATCTATAACAAATATTTGCGCAATTTAGAATGTATCAATGATTACAATGAACCAAATTTTACTCATAAATGCTATAGAGTCAAAGACTGTTAGTGTTAACTATCGTGGAAATGACAGAGTCATATTTTATGTACAGGGAGGACCTAGCTGAAAACAAAAGTACAGTGTTGACGTTTGTATAGGAACAGCGATATAGCAGGATTGTCAGTTGTGACAACTATACTCCATTCCTACGAGCAATTCATGATTCAAATTTTCACACAAATGTCAAAAATAGTTACAAGTTTGTCAACAGTTCGACTATTTTCATATTCCTGACATATCTCCAATTCACACCTTCATTTAAAAGCGACGTAGTAGAATCTGTTCTTTGGTGACTATCAAAACCACTACTGATGCACAGTTCATCAGCACGAAGTGATGTAAGAAGTGGAGAAGCTTGTGGTAGTATTGGTTGTTGTTGTTGTAATATTCTATAAGGTACTGCAGAACTGAACGGTTCCGAATTTGTTCGTAGGTTCGATGGCCTGTATATTCAATTAATATAAAATACAGATCATTCACTTATGCTATTAGCGTTTTATTGCAACGGTACATCCCCGATATGCAAAATTTTGCTTGGCAATGGCAAGCCATGTGTTTTACTGCAACGACACATCGCTGACATGCCAAATTTTGTTCATATGCTCAAACCATATTTTCTTTGGAAGCTATTACTCAGCTAGTGTTATATCCAAACATATTTAAGCTTGTTTCTCATACGAGGTATAATTTAACAAACTTCCAATGACTCTGCCTGTATAGGCTATTTTGTCGCAGTATTGCTGATAGAAAAAAATTTGGCTGGGTAGATGAACTGGGAAGCCATCATATACAAACGCATTGATTGGCAAACTCAAAGGTAACCAAACTGACCACGAGAAGTTTACTATATTCATTTCTGGCCTTCTTTTCAAGTTTAAAGGTGAACCCCGTGGTCCTGGACTGAGAGAATTCGTTTTACCATAATAAATTACTAAAGGTCATTTTGTTAATCTATATATTATATTCACCTGGAATCGATCTGTTTAGGTACTGTTTCACTTGGAAATTTTCCTTTATGCTGTAAATATAATACTTTGAAATGTAAAAAAATTTCAACTTTTTTTCAGATTCAAAGTGCAAACGAGGTAACCAGTAACCACCATAACTGATGCATGGCGTTCACTTCAGCCGATACTTAGCCGTGGGTACGAGACGAAATATCTCAATTAGTATATCTATAAATCCATTCAGAGGCAGGCGGATGTAATGAACTGTAACGCCAAGGATCAAGGAGTACTCATATTTAAAAACGATATTGGGTAAATTCCTGTGACGTTTAACCAGCCCGAGATAAAGCTCGAAATTTCAGATTATAAATCGACGCGCTAATTGTTGAAAAATGGGAGTCACGAATACGATGCGGTGTACACTGTCACGGTCAAGGCCGAGGCCAAATGTACCGAAAAACGCTATAGTAGCAAAATCCAGCGTCTGCTAGTGTACTTAATTACACACCTACACACACTGTGAACAAAAACAATTGATCAAAAAGATCTACAGGTACACTTCTGAAATACAATCATCATGTTGATGCATTTCTGGTAGCTTGGCTCAAAGCCTTAAATCAAGGGTCGGCAACATTTTGTCGCTCGCGGGCCAAAATTAAAGGTTGCAAGTCATTGGCGGGCCGCACATATTTTTAGAAAGTTGAAAACCGAACGGATGATACTTTTTATATAATAAAAATGAAGCAGTGATACATCTCTCGAATATAACATAGATTTATTTCCTCATTGAACTGCATCTAAAAAAGAATTCCATTTGAATATGTTCGGCGCCATTGAACCCTTTGCACTTGACATCAACTTTTCTGACTGTTGTTGCCATTTGTTATAATTAAATTATAGGCTAACTAAACGAGTAATTGTGAATTTTATACTTGTTAGATTATAATATAATTTAGTCTACACGTGTTTCAAAATAAATTCTGTTACGTAAAGAATATAATCGTCAAAACAGCCGTTTTGTTACTATAATTCAGTGGAGCGTCGCGCGCCGGATTATATTACTCCGCGAGCCGTAGGTTGCCGACCTCTGCCTTAAATGGACTATTATTTGGTTTACTAGTCGGGATGCGAAAAGCACTCACCCACGCTTGGATGGCAAATTCTTTTGAATCTTCAATCTGACGTGCAATATTGGCATTAAAATCTTGAAACAGTCGATAGATATCTGAATAATAACGTAATACCTTGTAAGGTTGTATTCCTAATATCAGGCGGTGGCATTTTATGACTATCTCAGACTGTATAAATAATACGAGCAATGGTTTTGATTGAAATAATTCCACTTAGTTCTGGGAAAAACAGTAATTCAAGTTTAAACTATCGAAGCCAGTTGCAAGTGATTTATTTACATTAGATTCAAGATATTTATAACCAGATTGATAAGAACTGACTATTTTTCTTTGTTATAAAATCAGTTTTTATTCGTGCCACACAATGTCCTTGAAATTATTCTAGTTTTGAAGTAAAATATAATGATTTATCACGCTCCATCATTATGTTATCGTTTAGACATGGAAAATACAAAATGTACCAATGGAATGTGCGATCTACATGCTCTTGTGACAATCTGAATTAGGCTTATGGTAAGTAAAACATTTCTTTTTTGGTTTGGTACACCGGAAATAAAATTTGTTTACATATTACGTGAAATATTCGATATATTACCACTGAATTTCGGGCGTATGTTTGCGTCCTGTTGCCACGCTAGTTTCATTGTTGAGACTAGAATATCAGGACTATCAGAAGGAACTAATGATAAATCTGGTCTTTTCCCCTTTTGCACGTCGTTTATTATAACGTCACCGCTTCTGACACCTGAAATATTCATATTAAAAGCTAGTCGTACCAGCAGATGTGACCATATATACTAAACAAATACTTGAGGTAATATAGTTCAAATATAATAGACAAGAACAATTCAAGGATGTAGGTATATTCGACATTATGAGCACGAAAATAGCGTTACGACTTGACTTTAAACTAAAGCTAGGTTCTCAAATGGGCTTCGTGTTAAAGAAACCTAAGGGCTCCGCGAGCTATGCGTTTACATATTGAAATACTGACTAAAATTTGAAAACGGTAAATACAATCGAGTCATTAAATAAACTAATTTTAGTTTACTCAGGAACATTAGTCGGTAAGTAACAATGTTTTTTTTTCACTTTATTGTGGGGCTCCATAAATAACAGTCAATCATTTTAGGGGCTGCATAACACTAAAAGTTTGAGAACCCCTGAACTAGAGCACCGAATTTGATGAAGAATTCAGCGAACAAACATGACAGAATACAAAAGTGTTTCCCTTCAGTGTGGAAGAAATATCAGATTCCATAGGAATCGAAGCAATAAATAAAAATAATAGCGTTTCATATTGGAGTAATAAAATCAATTGAAATAACATGAAGCAAAAGAAATGAAACAACCGTAGTCAATAATCATCCGAACAAGAACAACACGAAGATGTTAGCAAAGCGAACCACAGGGCAACTTCGTGTCTAATAATAATATAATTTGGGACAAAATATTTATAGATTATTTACAGTTCAGTTTATAATTTATACACAATATTGGACACAGATCAACAGCTGCTGTGGCCTTTGTTAACAGCTTACTGCTATATTCCGGTTGAAAAAGCGTAAAAGTTTGGTTGTAACGTCAAATTAAACTTTCCATTACATACATAGTTCTTCACTTACCACTATATGGAATTTTGTCGGTCAGTATTTCCCAGATAAAAACTCCAAAACTAAAAGAAAATATTGTAAATTCTATGACACAATTACATTTTCACAATAAAACTTTTAAATAAAAAACTTAAGTAATGAATGATAAAATGAGGAATATAGATATATATGATGTGATTTTAACAAAGTAAATTCACTATAAACTACCATGTATCTCATTCTTCTATTCCGTTATTTGTTTGACTTTCGTCTACTATATCGCTGTGGTCTACATAGGCAAATACAGTAGCCTATAGTCTACATTTTAAAAAAAGTGTATTTTCATTATAACAAACTTTTTCAAAATTTTCAAAACACCAATGTAAAGGGTACTCGTTATGAAACAGATTATAAACAATATTATGATCACAGGACATTCCAGGCTATGTTTTAAGGACACCTGTAAACATCTGAGCTTCTAGTTGGACTCTTGTTTACTTCTAAAAGTTCTGGTGCCACGTGAGATACCGTGCCTGCAGGGTTGTTGTTTAACTTTCCACCTGGATTTTGAATAGACACGATATGTATAGCACTCTCTCTTTGGGTTGATTATTTTAAAATTTGAGATTTCCCTATTTTCGCATATGCAGGTGTTTAAGTATTATCGATAAGGCACTCGTAGTTACGTTAAACAGCGTAATAGTCGTGGTGACCGTTAAGATGTTCGTCCTTGATACAGGTTAGGTTACATTACACAAGTCGAACGTTTAAAATAGTACCATTGGGTGATATTTTATCATGTATAGCCGATTGTTGAACATCTTCCATTTACCGCTATTCACACATGGCTCGTCCAATGTAAAATGCTGCGAATTCCGGCGGGATAGTGATACGCTCTGTCGCACACTTTCTTTGTTAGGCTCCAAAAGATTAGTACATAATTAGAGGGAAACGCACCTGAACCGATACCATAGTTTCGACAGCGGCGGTGAACTCGATGGCTCTAGCTAAAAGGAAAACCGTTGCCCACGTGGCTTTAGCAGCAGTCTATGAGTACATTAGTGCTTACAAAAAGGGATGATTTTGGCGGTTCAATCGTGGGGAAAGTACAGGAGCCCACATATCAAATAAGACGAATCTGGCTTAACGGCGTCATTAAATTATTTATGATTTATCCAATTTCCTCCCATTTCAATTTGTAAGAAGTTGATATTAAGCCAAGAGGTTATATCTTGCCACATACTACAAAAACAGAAAGTGTACCGAAACACGAACGCTTCTAAATCGAAACGACATTTTGTCTCCGAATTTGAATCGAAAAAAAAAAATTAAATTTATTCTATTCATTTATGCTTGCTAACAGAAATTCCAATATTGCAATCATTTGTAACAATGGTACACATCAACCATTGTAACAAAATTATAATCCACACATTTCAAATGCATTACTCTGCACACCTCATTTCACAACAAAATCACGATCGATCTTTCGATTCGATGCTTTATTAGTGCGTACTGTGCGTTGTGGTGACCGTACATTTGAACCCATGTACATTTGAACCCATGCGTATATCCACGGGTTCAATCTATATGCGGGTGCTAAAACCCATGGGTTAGGGTTAGTATGGGTTTAACTATCCGTGAAACAAAAAAAAATTTCATAGGTGCAATAGCATACAGGTGCAATTGCCATGGGTTCAAATGTACGTGGGTTCAAATGTAATGGAACCGTGCGTTGTAAACGCGATATTGAATGAACGCCAAGAGTTCTGCTTCAAATTATAAACTGAAATCATGCTGTATTGTACAAATTATGCGCAATTCGCGGTTTTTTCCATCTCGCGACGCATTCTTTTGGTTGAGGGGGATCCAGAGAGGAATTTAGATTTAGAACAGTTGTTAGATTCTTAGCGTTGTTTCACGTCAAAATGTTTACCAATCACACACAAAAAGGGTGGGTGGGCTGAATAATACCTTATGGATACTCAAACGTCGAATGGCAATTACCTTTGCGACCTTCTGGGTTCGACGAAGGCCTCGTAGTCAATAGTTTCATTTTCGCCAAACCGAAGTCACATATCTGAAAGATAAGATAATAAGTATAATTGTATTTGACTCGCGGATAACAACTTGATACGGAGCCTGCCTCGTCTTCTATTTAATACAGTCCCATTAACAAGGCGTAAGAAATAACGAAGATGTAAAGACAAGCTAGCTTGTAGAGGTAAAGACAGCTAGCTATCTTCCGAGTAGCTGCTAATGCCAACCCTTTCGGCGTAGTATTAAAACAAAAATTCCAGCCTGAATAATCCAATGGCTTGAAAGCTAGATTATAAAAAAATCAGGCAATTCGCCATCGACGTATGTCTGCGTTTTATCATATTCTGGTCGTTTCGTATAGTTTTAGCTTGTACCACGTGAGTTAGGCGGTTCTAATGTTCACAGCCTTGTCATTTTACAAGTTTAAAATCTCTAAATATCTTTTTATCTTGTCGTTTGCAATTTAATTAAGATGGGATTACCTTTACGTCAACGTCTTGATTTAATAATACATTTGCAGCCTTCAGGTCACAATGAATAATTTTTCGACTGTGTAAAAATTCCATTCCACGGGAAACCTAAAACAAAAAAGTAATATAAGAAATTCAATATTAGTAAAAACAATTGTAAAAAGTTTATATTCATTATTATACCTGCTCAACAATTCGAAGTTTTAACGGCCACAGGTTTTCCCTTGTGGCTGTATCGTTCCTCCCACAGCCTGTTTGTACATAAGAAAAGAAATCTGAAATATTTCCAAATTTCATGTATTCCAGAACCAAGCAAATGCCGAATTCAGACTGCATGAGCCCATACATTTTTAATACGTAGTTACAGTCTTCGTGAAGTTTCCATAACATTTTCGCTTCTTGTTTTATGGTATCGATGCCGCTGAAATTTGAAGAAAAAACAAATGATTAAAAACCGATTTTGTCGAAAATTTGAATTTACTCATAATTTGAACCCTGACAGGTAGACCGAATGGCTATGTTGCGGTTATCCTGCCTGTTTCCGCCATGACTGTTTTTTTTTTATATCGCTTGTTTTTACTTTATTATACTCGTTTGCTCGAATAGAAAAAGGATTCGATTATAAAATATATTTTCTAGTTTAAGAGCAACTATTATACGATTTGAAATGACTGATTGTAGATCTTAGAATTAATGTTTTCCAAGGTCCAAATATATGTTCCCCATAAAATGTATTTATCAAAAAAATCTTTGTATTGTTCTCAAAGCAAGACTATCGCCCACGCGAGGGAAATTTTTCTATATTTATATACCCATTATCTTCATTCGTATGCGGAACACCCAGGAACCATAAACGTCATTCGAAGATACACTCTTACCGTTTGTCAATAGCCGTACACATGCTATACAACAAAAGTAGAAAGCGTGACGATCGTGGGGCGACATTTGGTCGAGTCGCATCTCGTTTTCACAAAGAATGTATATATGTATGGACGCTTATTTGAGTTGTCTTAAAACTGAAATGGCTGGTTATGTTCAATCATCAAATGCCAATATTAAACAAAACGAAAAATTGTGAACTTGGTTTTTAAATGCGGTGTATGAAAAATTATTTCGAATTACGACATTGACGGGACTAAAAAGCATATCGTCACACTAATAACCGAATTGCGTAAGTCATTTTTGGCGATTTTGAGTTTTTTTTTTTATAAAATAGGGATTTATGTAATGCTGCGCACCTGTCTGTTAACTCAGATTTTATTTTAAGAATTCCGAAACCCATAACAATGGAGATTTAGTATGACATGCGCATTTGTGCAATTGTTTCGTCATAATGAATTATCATTATTACCGCTGGACTATTGTGACGTCACAAAGGCAAAATAACCTCGGCGAAGGATTTTGAGTATTTGCATCTCAGATTCTGGCTTAGCGCTTATAATTTTTAATTTATACTACAGTATAGGAAGGCGTGCACTTGTTATATTCACTGTCCGAGTCCAATTCACCTTGGTTGGCTTTTATATTGGGTGCATTGCTGTTTCATTCTTTATATTAAATATTAGTCTTATTCCGGTGGGTGTGCAGAACGTGTTATATTGATGAAATATATATGTTTAAACATAAAAAATAATGTAATTGAAACTGATTAGCTATTTTGGGGATTAGACATTGTAGATACTGAGAATTACATTCGTTTTTGGAATGTTTAGTTTTCAGGACTGGTGCATCTAGTAAAGTTGCAAAATCGCGTATGTCCCCAAGTCATAGACACATTTCTGCCTAAGTCACAATGAGCCATTATGACGTCACTTAACTGCGTCATACAAATTAAATTAAATCCGGCTACGATCAAAAAATTGAACCATGGCAAATTATTGACTCTCAATGGCATAACAATATCATTGAGAAGTTTTTTACGTTTTTCTCAAAACAGCTAAAAATGACTTACGCAATTCGGTTATTAGCGTGACGATATGACAAAGGTCAAATCAATTATATATATATAAATAATATATTATATATAAATTATTAAATAAAAAAAAATTCCCAAACTTCCAAATTTATCCAATATAATTCTGTTTCTAAATTGCCCAACCTTGCAATTTCCAGTCTCTTGATTGCCACAGGGTAACCAGATTGAATTCCATCATTTTTATCCGATATTTTCCACCGTCCCAGACCGACGATACCCATCCCACCATTGCCAATGAAATTTCTCCTATTTTCAATATGCTCTTCATTGAATATCCGTATATCACCCAATGCCATCATTATATTCCCGAATTTAAGCTATCTAACTCAACAACGCATGAACTGATGAATACAAATCAAAACTGAACTTTATTACCCTTTTGTGCTAAACGTTGTGACGCAATACCAATGCCTGACATAGGAGCGTCTGCTAAGGACCTCTCTCAATAAACATTACCTCATCGCAAACGATGAAGCAACTTAACTACGAGACGCCTATTGATCTAGGACACACACCTTCAAGTTCGTCGCTTACCGTGTTCCCCACGATGTGGGCGTATATAAGACACTATCTAAAAGGTGGCCAACGGGATTTCCGTGGAATTTTTCCTCTCGAACAAAGCCCGCCTCCAGGGACTCGCGAGAAGTCAAGTTTGAAATTCATAAAGAACTACATAGTTAGTGTTAATTCTGCTGAGATGGATCTCGCTACTATGTAGAACTGATGGGCTGGGAATGTCCAACAGATATGTAGGTTGAACAATTTTAGTAGGCAACGGTTACAATTAATTTTATGGTTCACTGTCAATTATGGTGATAATTATATTCTGAGGTAAATACACATAAAAAATTAATTCAAAGATATTTATCTGCATGGTCTTCAATTTAAATTAATACCACTCCAAACATCAACAAAGTGTAACGAATAACTCAAAAACTATGACTGATGTAAACGTGACAAAGCGATGTTCCGAATAGTGTTGAATGTCAAGTACCAGATGCAAATTCTGTCGCAAAAATATAGGAGGCATATCAAAATTTACGGAAAGTGATGCCGAACGCAACGAGTTCACAATACTAACGATCTGTAATTTCAACTTCTCAAATGCGTTTCAAAAACAGTTTAATAAAATGAAAATAGTAAAAGAGCAGTTTTAGGTCATGATTTCTCTATATTTTCTTAATAGTACCCTATCAATTATACAAATTTTCAATCCAAGCACCTATTATCCATAGCGGTAACGAAGTTAGTCCATTCTAAACGCTAAGAAATGTTGAAGCTTTTAGCCAAATCTGTCTAAATTTCCCTATCGAGCTGTTCAATTTAACCCGACCACGCCAATAATTTTATCTTGTATAAATACCATAGTAAAATGCTTTTATAACCAATGTCGTCCAATCATTAACGAGCAACACTAGGTAAACATTACCGGTATAAAATATCGATCAGAAAGACATAAACAATTCACTGTTGATTTTCTGTAGTCATATTGGTTTGCATTCATTTCAATAAAATTCCTCAAGATTCGTCACATAATTAGTGAGCTATTGAACTAGAAGATAAAAAGATATAGAAACTTTACTGCTGATTTTCTACAGTCATATTCGTTTGCATTCATTTCAATAAAAGTAATCACGACTAGCCACATAATGAGTGCGCTACTGAATCAGTTCCGTCTACTGGTCTGAATTTGGTGAATAATAACTAGGCTTGAAAAAGTCTATGCCAGTATTATTGTGCGTGTATAATTCACGACGTAATGGTCGACTAACTGAACTTCTTTTTCGTGCTCGCTAAGCGACCAGCAAACAGCCGTTAAATTTTTTATAATACATACCGATACCAGCAACACGTACAACGTTTTACGTAATACACTTGACAAGTTGCCTCCAGACGGTGGTGTTGAATATCATGTATTTATATACTACACTGATTATATGAACAATTGCTCCCTTTATCCAACTCTTCGTAGCATTGGCGGAGGGATTTTAGTACCACAGACATGTAGTGCTTTACGACAGGAAATGTTTAAAATTGCGACATTTTGATCTTTTATAAATAAATTAAATATTTTGTCATCATGAGGTTAAATCAAGTTTAGTTGAAAGACAAGCACGGAGAACTTATTCATCAATGATATTCGATGCACCAAAATTAGGGCATAGTCGAAACTGCATCATTTTGTTATTCAGTTCATTCAGTGTATTCAAAATGATCTGAACATCCCTTGTAAGCTCGTGTCTAGCTAATGTGCACAAAACCTCCTACATAAAACGGTATGCCTACTATTAAATACACGAGCAACTGGTATTTACTTGAGTTTCATGTTTGACCAGACTAAATCGACGGTGAACGAAACAACGTAACAATTTTTCACGAAAAGAAGGCCTGCTGTATAAGTCGTGAGCAAGACATCTGTCGCAAATAATGGCGATCGAATTGTCTGAGTAAAATAACTACCACAGACCCTGACTTTACAGATACCTGAAGCACAACCGGTGTTAGCAAAGATTATGTTCAAGGACTCAACGGCTCTCCCTATGCTCTTTCAATAGATCACAGCATTGATTTAGAAAATCGAATCATACCACATAAACCAAGGGAAGAATTCGATAAATAATAAGTTAACGGCTCTGTTCCATCTGTCCCCATGTTTGTTTTAAGTTTTGTTAAATTACTTAGCACCATTATCATGCTATCGTGTTTTTAAAATAGATTTTACTCTTTGATAATTTTTCCTTGCTAATTATATAAGCTAGTTCCCATTCCATATCATGGCGTGATGAAGTACTTCTCTATAGAAATTCGAAACGTCAGAAAATTACATCGAATTGCTAACACCGGTTGTGCTTTATTTATTCCTCACATGAATTTACCTGGTGGTAATCATGCGCAATGCGCACAGCCTAATTGTTCCCCAACGTCCCAAAGTCTATATATCGAGGTTTAAATTTAGCTCGCCTGCGCTACTAGTGGTCACTGATGTTTCTTGTGTCATGACGTCTTTGAGTCGTTTTTATGTGGGCAAATAGACATTTCACCGAATAGCTATTTTGAATGTTTTCAAAACTAGGGCCGGGATGGCGACATAGCATGCTTTTTCGGTGTCGTGAATTTTTGCAAAAAACATACTAACATACATACCAATGATAAAAATTGATATTAAATATTGCTTTAATTCAATCTAACCATAAGTTATTACAAGAGCTACGCACAAATATATGGACACGTTAGACCAGAGCGAATCAGTCCTTAATGGTACCTTTGACGCTACCGGTACCCTCAAAAAAGTTCTGAATTTCCAGTAGCAAGAATTTCGCAGAATCAAAGCGTACAGCCAGTCATGACACTGACTAAAATCCGTGTTCCCATGGATAGAAAATAATACAGCAAAATTTTAGACGAAATATCAAATTTCATAGAATTCACGCAAAATTTTGAAATAAATAAAAGTAATAGCCTTCTAGCGAAAAAATTAATCTTTAACCACTGAAAATTTCAAAGCAATTGGTCCAGTATTCGAAGAGAAAAGCGACTTTTTAAAAACGTGTCAAAGAACAAGAACAACAACATAATATTGAAACGATCGTTATGTCCACTACGTGTCCAATAAGCGAATATCGGCGACGAGACGATGAATTTGAGGCTAATTGAAGGATAGAATCCGCTATAAAGTGAACAATACTGTCAAATTCGTCAAATAAAAAATGTTTCCTATTTTAGATATTAGAATTGCAAAAATCTCGCGTGCCTACGTCAAGCATTTTGGCTACTAACCAACACCAAATGCTCTGAAGATGAAAAAATCACACGTAGTGTGCCTTGTTTGCCCGACTCGAAACCAGACTCATTCAAATCACCGCCATGACCGAATTATAGATGTGTTTCTGTAAATAATATACCTACCGGGAATACTTTTGACGAGTAAAACTGTCTTTGCCTAGTATATAATCTATTATTTTAGAATGACAACTGATCTGCAACCCCACCTAAAGCATAGGTAAAATAATAGACGATATTTTGTATTTATATATATTTCGACTGGTATTTTATACAAATAGATAGGGGTAAATAGAAATTAAAACGAATAGAATTTATTTACTTTATTTACTAAATGTTGAACAAGATTTCAAACAAGGAATGCTCAATTCTACAGTTTGTTTGAAGCAAAAAAAGACTACAACCGATAGGTGTTTAACAAGCTTCCCAGTGGTATGGACTCTCTTGATGATTCGCGTAAGTGTGGTCTATTTTATAAAAAAACAGCCCATAATGTGGTCCATATTAGGAAACCGACTTGAATATGGAGAAAGATATAAGATGTACTGTTGGAACATTCTTGCATAGTTGGTCTACTCTTATGGAAACTTGAATAATCGTTTAGTGAATATACATGAGAAAGATCTTGTGCTGCCCCGTAGACTGGTTTATTTAGTTGTCCTTGATTTGTCGTATTTAGTGATCCAAGATTGCGAGGTCAGCGGGCCGCAAAAACTTTTAAGGATGTCTCGCGGGCCGCAGTCGGAGAAAACCCAAAAGTGATCAAAACATCGCGAGTCTACTCACTTTGAAATATATTTACGAATTAGAGTTCACCGTTCTAATCAGTGTTTCAAGGAAGATATATAAAGCCTTTCGTTATTTAAAAATTGATTCCTGAGAAATACCGTGGTATTTTCAGTATCTTTTCTCGTGTTTGGTTTTGTAATGTCGCGTAAAATTTCATTCTTTCGTGACAGATATTATTTGAAAGCACACCGGACACTGTGGTTTAACGTTGTTGTGGGTAAGGAAATACGCTTCATCTCAGTTTATATTGGTCACCTTTTTTCATCACACTCATTGTATGATGAATTGTTATCTTTGACTAAGTTGGGACTGGATCCAGCTAAAAAAATTGGATCGCGCGGCTCTAAGTCAGTTCTGCGGTTCTTCACTGCTGTCACGTGGCCAACGCTTGAAAATAGAGGAGTGTTTTTACTAAAATAAAGGAGCAAAACGTCTCTCCAAATAACGAAGTTACTTGGCGTGAGCTCAAGGCACGAAGTTTAGGTAAAAGGAACCACTCATCGACTTGGTTCAGTCTGCACAAGACAAATCATTCTCCTTCTAACTATCACAGGACGTCATTTTCATATTGGCATCGTCTTGACGTTTATAGATACAACATTGAAATTCCGTGATTAAAAATAACTAAAAATGTTCTGCCAATAAATACAAATATCCGCCAATGGTTTAGTGCACGCTAAAATTGTTTTGCGAGCCGCACGGAATGTGTCTGCGGATTGGACCCCTCTGATCTATATCATATTAGATAGCATTTACATTTGGTATTGTTTTATATTATTCATGCAAATGTTTATGTCGGAGAGGAATTCCATTGAAACATTTTGA